AGTCTGCTAATATATTATTTATAAAGAGAATGTGATAACTGCTGTCTCATTATTAAAGGTTAAAGTCCACTCAGAATTTAAAAAAGACCTCTTCCACCCTATCGGCCCTTCACATCTACACTGACAGTGCATCACTATAAATACTTTGTAACCTCAGAGGTGTCCCTGAATGTAAGTGATTCTTAATGCATTCATTTTTAACAACCTGTTTATGAACATGATTGCAATAAAATTCTACAAGGTTGAAAAGATATTTTAATTAGAAAGTTGTCAAAGTGAAAATGAGTTCAGCTTTGCTACACTTGCCTTATTCATCTACCAACCCATTTCAGAAAACCTGGATCTGACTGGAAAACCTTAAATCATACTGGAGGAGGATTAAATAAGAAACTGGGAAAAATTAAGTACAGTAGCATGTTCCCTTGGCTGACTTTTCCATTTATAGGTGAACATTATTCCAGAGATTTATGGCTCTCGAAAATGTCAGTTGTATTGTTCTAGAATTTCTTTGCAGAACAATACAACTGCTGTTAATTTGGAATGACTGTTTGTTTCAATCCCAGATTAAAATGAAGCAAACTGTAGCTCAAATTTACTGTCTGTTCTAGTGGAATGCCTTAAAGTGCTTGTGAGGCACATTTCTTTTTCCCACAAAATTATATGTCAAGATCTTTTTTCACTTCAGCAGCAGAGAAAAGGAAACTTCTTTTGGCTGTGCTGTGGCTTTACTACAGGCCCTGAGCATTTAATGTTGAAGGAGTTTATGCTGTTTCTCATAACATGCAGGATAAAGTAACATGAAAGAAAAGCAATCTAAGACCAATTTACTTTAGCTTTGTTGATTTTCATCCATTTCTCCTATGGAATGCATCTTGGACCAAACTATAATGGATGTTGTGTTTTGTTTTTTTTTCACTCTGCTAATGTACGACAGGAACACACAACATGGCTCATTACCATTCTCAGAGTTCCACAGGAAATCCACCACACCATTTTAAATGAAAGAGGTTTTCAAGAGAATTAAGACCATGCAGACTAGACTAGACTCCTGATAGCCATCGTTCGTAAAATACGAATTAGCAGTGATTAACTGTATTCCTGCAAAGCTATGTGTAATTTCCCTTACTTCAGCCAAGCATGAAAAATGCCAAAACCAATAATATCAACAATTAACCAAAACGTCTCTAATAAAAGATAAAGCAGGTGAGACATGCAGCTAAGAAATAAAATCTGTGAAGAGTTACAAAACCATTTCTAGAATTTTTGAGACTCGAGTGAATCAAAATGAGATGCAGTATCCTCAATTAGATTTAGAAAAAAAAAAAAAAAAAGAAAAAAAAATTTCAAAACAGACACAAATCACCCTGAAGTTAACAAACATATTATCCTGTAAATGTTTGTTTTGCGGCTTAATGTTATAAAGTCTTAAATTTATTTCTTAATTGTTCATTGTGTGTGTTATTTTTGTGCAAATGAGTTGCCCCTCGGGGACAATAAAATATTTACACCAATTTAGTTCAATTTAATTCAAAGAACCTGAAGTACCGTCCACTGCACTGCATTCCACATTTGCCAGTGTTCTTAATTAGAAAATTAGAGAGTTTGAAAATTAGTGATTTCTATGTCCACTGTTGATAAAACATCAGCATGATAATTTCCAAGACTTTAGGGAAATTTTATGTGGACCTATCAAGTAAAAATACGGCATTATGGTCACGTACAGAACAAATATCAAGGACACCCACAAATTTACAACTGAATGCAAAAGAAATAAACAAAATACAGGCTTTTACATGAGCTTTATTTGGATTTAAATCTGACCGAGATGCAGTGTAAACTAAAAACTGGGTGTTTTAGATCCTTGCAGAGTGGCTAAATAACAGTAATTCTGCAAAGTTGACTTTGCACAAATCATGGAAAAGCCAATAACCAGTTATGACTAAGTTGATGCCCCTTAACAAAATTGAAACAAAATGAGCAAACTTTATTGTTACCAATAAGGATGGAATAACCTTTCCTTATTGCGATGGTCACCCCAACACAGTCTAACCCCACACATAACCATTTTTTCACAAAGTTTTGACACTTGGCAGCATAAATATATTGGTTTGTTTATTTTTACTTTAATAGTAGTGACTGTTGTATTTAATTTTGTCAAATACTTAATATTGTTTGTGCTTCCTTTTCTGATGTTGTGGAGAGTACCTTCAACCGGCAAAGGACTCTGGTTGGCATACTCCTCATTGACTGATTGATAGATTGGGTGATACCATTTGGAGTTCCACTATGGGGGAAGACCATGGAGTTCACATTCTAAGCTGCTGCATAATGTCTCTTTTGCTTTTGTGGTTTGCTCGTTTTGTTAATTTTGTTAAGTTAGTAGTAATTTAAGTTTAATCCTTAAGCTACCTGTTCAGTTATTTTTGTTAAACTTGTGTAGATGTTCTCCCTACCTCTTCCTCTGTGTGTTAGTCTGGTCTAACCAGCCAGTATTTAAGTCCCCTTTGTTTCCTGTGTGTCAGGTCAGTTTGTTTGTGCAGTAAGTTTGAGGTTTTGTTATGGTTAACCATGATATTTTTTGCCTTCATTTAGTCTCTTCATTTGACCTCTTTTCAGGGCCCTGTAATTATTGTTTGGATTTTTGTTACTTTGGGGAAATAAAACCCATTTTTATAAGTAATCACTGTGTCTTTATGTTTTCCCTCACAGTAATGCAGCAGTATGTTTTACTCAACTTATTCTTGTTCAGTAATAGAATTCACTCAAAAACTCCTTTAACATGACAGGTCAAAAACAGCAAAACCAGAAGAGAGACAGAATATTATTTTAGAGCATTTATTAACCATTTTGGTTAATAAAAGTAATGACTCAACATCAGTTCTAATGTAATAAATCAGAAAAAGGAGTTTTTAAAAGAAAAAACACAGAGGCTAAAGAAAAAAATGCCATAAACATGGAGTCAGAGGTTTTGATTAGCAGCAAAGCTTGTCAATCACATTAAAGGAGTGACACTAAAATTAGCAGAAGAAAACCAAACCAACATGATGACATTTTCTATTCAGTCTCCGCCCCTCATCTCACATGATGAGATGCCTGATATATTTGCTTTCTCTAAGCTAAAGTCTGGGTATGGGGCAACACCTTTGATCCTATACTAGTCTGAGTATGCCAAAATAATCCATAATACATAACTTAGTCTGAGGAGGAAAAGCATTATTGTAGGAGAGTTGTCTAAGCTGTTAGGCCTAGACCTCTTGGCACTATGTCTAAAGTCTAGATTACAAACCAAGGCAGGTGCAAGAAGGAGAAGGCAGTCCTAAAAATACCCATGAGGATTCCTGTGGTGGCCAGAAGACGCTTTGGGTATCCTCAGTCTTCATGGCTTTTTGTTATGTTTTTTTTTTTCAAAGTAAAGCAGATGGGTAGAAATTAAAACATTTTAAAAGATATAACTGACTCCTAATTATTTTCATACTACTTAATGTATGAATAATCAAATGCTCTCATTGGGCAGTTTGAATACCAGTTAACATTTCCCAGATGACAGGCAGATTAGAGACTAAGCTGCTGTAATTGAGGTTTAAACTCCCCGTTGTCCTCACACATATCTGATATGATATCAGGTAAACACTTGTTGGGTTGAGCCCCATTGACTGCAGACAATACCTCCAGATGTCAACAGACTTAGAGAAAGCATGTCTTCTCATGCAACACCCTTGTCTTCATTCCTTTCCGCTTATCCTGGACATAGCCTCAACCTCTTCATACTCATCTATCTTTGTGCACGTGTCCCTTAATAAATAAGAATTTCATTGAAAGGTTAATTTATTACTGTAATTCAATTCAAATATATCAAGTGAGTTTACATTAGACACACTTGCTGTTTAATCGGGCACAGCACCATGATACCCTGGTCATTAAAGAAGGTATTGGTACTTTTGGCAGTGGGGCAGGTGCTTAATCTTGTTTGAAACTAAAACCATCTCCATAATGTTGTCAGCAGAGTGATGAACGAGAGCTTTAAATTTCCTCATAAATGGCTACACTGACTTTGAGAAAACACAGTGGACAACATGAGCAGATGAAAATGCTCCCAAAACTTGACCGACTGGAGATTTTCTACTGCAACTGAAATAATTTGCTTGGGCCCTCCTTTATTTTATGGACCAGCCTGGTCTTGTTGGTTATGAATTTACTTATTTAGCCTAGATTAGATGCTTCTGATACAACAGTCGTATTTTATCCTGCTTACATCAGTTTTTGCGGGTACTGACCTTGACAACAGTCCATGTCTTTTCAATCTTAATCAAACTATTAAATGGGCTTTGTTTTGACCACAACTGTTTTTCCTTCCACTCAACTTTCCTCTGATATAATCTTTTAAGAACAGCAAGCTCCTTTAGCAATGACCTTCTGTGGCTTACACTTTTTGTAGAGAGCATCAGATCCTGCCCATGGACACTTGTAAAGTCAACAGTCTGACCTGTGATTGAGTAGTTAGGATATAATGTGATCATAGCATTTTTGCATTACGAATTCATTTTATTTTCATTCTTTTTCTAGGTTCATTTTTAATAAGAAAACTAGATAGATAGATAGATGGATGATAGATTTTTTTATGTACCTGCATAAAAACAGCATTCACACAAATCCATCCTATTGGCCCCCTGAAAGGGGAGGCATCCCTGCTCCAACAGAGCTAAAATGATATTAATCACAGTATTTTAGGCCAAAAAATAGATTTTACATTGAATAAGTCAAATATCTTTCTAAAATTGAATGTTTCTTATTTCTTAGACTCTGTGAATTAGACAATGTGAAACCTTGTCAAATACAAGAAGTTTTTTTTATTTTTATTTTTTTTTTTTCCTGAGCCTGCCTACTTTCACTCCCCATATAAAGCAAAATCAAAAGTCAAATGTTCGGGACCTACGAATCGCTGAGCAGCTCCTTAAAAAACCTCCCAGCACCCCTCACACACGCCTCCTCCAGAGAGTATTGGATGTCCTCAGGAATCCAGTCACCCCCTCCTTGGAAGAACATATTTGACAGGACGAAGTCAGCCGGAGCCCGCAGTCCAGCCCCAGCCTTCAGTCAGGCGCAGACTCCCCCAGCCCCATCTCCTGCTCTCCCTTTTGGACGTTTTTGTTCGGTGTTGAAGCACAGCAAATAAGCAGCCATGGATGCCATCAAGAAGAAGATGCAGATGCTCAAGCTCGACAAGGAGAATGCCTTGGACAGAGCTGAGCAGGCCGAGTCAGACAAGAAAGCAGCTGAGGACAGAAGCAAACAGGTCGGATGAGTTTTCTTCATTCTATCTTTAAAGGAAAAAGCAACAAACGCCAAGCAGCAGCAATTAAAAGCTACGGATGATTAAGTTAAATGATACATGCATGATTGTTAAGTGTTATATAAAAAAAGAAAAGTGTATAATTCTTTTATAATTTGTTTAACCTTTAAATTCCCTTGCATGAATGTGTAGTTAGAGGAAGAACTGAGAGAATTGGAAAAGAAATTGCGTGTTACAGAAGATGAAAGAGATAAAGTTTTTGAGGAGTTCCAAACTGCTGAGGAAAAAATGTTGGCTGCTGAGGAGACCGCTACCAAGGTATCCCACCCTGAAGTGCATGAACTCACCTAACTTCTCTTCTCTCTCCCTGTCTTCTCTCCGTCCTGTCCTGTCCTGTCTTCTTCTGTCTCTCCGTGTGCGCTCCTGCGCCTTTGCGCGCTCACGCAACTCCCTTTCCTCGCCGTTCACACCTGAAACTCTGCTGCACATAAAAAATAATAATGTAAAAAAAAAAAAAATCAGCTTGAGGACGACTTGGTGGCTCTGCAAAAGAAGCTGAAGGGAACTGAGGATGAGCTGGACAAGTACTCCGAGGCTCTTAAAGATGCCCAGGAGAAGCTTGAGCTTGCTGAGAAGAAAGCCACCGATGTAAGTATAAGGAAGTCTTCCCCTAGGCACCATTCCACCTCCACCCTGCTTCACATCTGCACTGTTTTCATCTTTAACGCCAGTTCAACAGCACAGAGAAGCTGTCTGTCTTCTCTGCAAACGACTAATTTGTTTTATTTTTGGTGATGCCATTAGTGGGTACCACTGCCACAATTGGACATTTTAAATTTGTGTTGTAACAACGGTTGAGCTGTCGTTAAATGTTTCACCACAAGTCACGTGGTCACTGTCAAGTCAGCCCAAAGAAAACTAAAACCTTTAAAAGAAAAAAGGAGGATGTTTGTGTTAACTTCAAAAATTCCTTATGAGAAAGGAGTTTACTTTTCCCACCTTATATATTTAAATATATTTTTTATATTTTTTGCCTTAAAAAGGCTTCAGACTGAGTGAAGCTTGGCCTTAATGTGCAGAATTCCCAAGCGCCTGGAGAGGCAGCGCCTAGATAAATATAGCCCACTGCTTTATATGGTCAAGATAGAGCTCACATCAGCGGGCGCTGCGCTCCTCTGCTTACCACAGATGAAAACGCAGTTTCCTTTAAAAAAAAAAAAAAAAAGAAGAAGAAAAAGAAAAAAAGTCCATTGGAGAACACAGGATTCAATAACCCTTCACTCTCAAACATTAAAAACCTTTTTTTCAATAAGGATAAATACAGCACACTTCTTTGATAAAAGTAAATGAAAAGTTACATTCTCATACACATATCCTCAGAAAATAATCCCCACTATAAACCAAAACTGAGTGCAGCAGCCCAGATAAGTTTATGCTCTTAAAAGTCAATTAAGGCTGCTTTGAGCCGCTGAAGGAAAAACACGTTGTAATAATCCTTTAATTGGATTACACATGGGCAGATAAGACAAAGTCTGTCAGAGTGTTTTGAGTTTTACTCTCTCGTGTTTGATGATGGTGAACTTTATTCATTATATTCATAATATTACATTTCATATAATATTATATAAAAATTATCACTGATGTAGTGCCTAAAATTGACCAGCAGATGACGCTCTGGTTTCGTACCATTACCTCGACCTGACTTGATTTCAGCAAGATTCAATGATTTAAAACAAACAACAACAACAAAAAAAAACAAAAACATTATTATCTTTTTTAATACAGTAACCCTTTAATTAGATTGCACAAATAAAGCGCTGAGACAATTTGTTGGAGTGTTGTGAATTGGAACTAATTTACCATGTGATATTTAATTTTATTTTCGGGATAAAGGAGAATATAGGTCAGTATTAAATGGTTTGAAAAAAAAGAAGCTGCTCAAGGAAGGAGCATTTCTGTAATATTTTTAAAGCATTCTACGTACAACCTATAATTAATACATCCTGGGTTTAAAAAAAAAAAAACTCGTTGAGGCTCTAAAAATATTTCCTGCACTGCTCCCAACCGACCAGCAGAGGGAGCTGTAGTTCTCTTAGTTTTTTGAAGACTGAATCAATTTGGACATTTCTGATTAAAACCGCCCTGTTATCCTGTATGTTTGTTTGATTCCGTTGCATTATATTACTTTTTCATTATTGTTATTTAAAAAAAAACTTTTTTGCGTACCAAAAAACTGTGTATCACACCACAGAAATCTCATATTTTTTTAAAGGCGTGTGTTGAAATCAGCATAAGCTTCCTGGACAGAAAAGCTTTGCGGAGCGCGTCTCTCTGCAAAGCTTGACGTCATCCCGTCTCTTGACAATTTGTCAGAAAGTGGCTGCAGCTCAGAGTGTTGCCTCGCTTATTTTCTCCTGTTTTTACAAAAACTGTTAGTTTTAATTTAAAAGAGAAAAAAAAACTATAATGGCTGGAGTTAAATCACTGGACGCAGTCAAGAGGAGGATTAAATCGCTGCAGGAGCAGGCTGACTGTGCTGAAGACAAAGCAGAAAGGTTACAGACGGAGCTGATTGCACAGAGGAAAGCCAAAGAACAAGTAAGCGCGCTAACCGCGCATCTCCGCTCATCAAGCGCATAAAGAGAAATGACCCATGAAACATTTCCTGCCTCTCTATGAATAGTTTAAAATGTGGAAATGATATTCTGACAAGGATAAAACAGGGTTTATCTCGATTCCCTGCAGAGCTATAAGCTGAGCTTTGCTTGATGTTACTTTAAGTCTCAGAGGGGGTTTGAAATCCTGAGTGCGCGTAATTGTCAGGCCGCTGAGGCTCTGCTGACAGTTGAGGAGTGAGTTTCATTGTATCATTGCATTGCCTCATCTCCTGGCTTTGCTTCACTTTGAAGAACTTCTCTTTTCCACCCTACCTGCTTTAAAATAGGACTAAAACGACAAACATTTGAATATTAGTTCTCTCACGCTCCAGGAAGTACCTGCTTAAACCGTGGCAACATTTAATGTGCCATCCTGCGCTGTCAGCCTGAGCTCTTTGACTTTGTCCATATAAGGACAGCAGGTTGTTCTGTTACCAGGAGGCAGCATAGCGGCGTGGGGACTCAACATTTCACTGTTGACTCGTGGGCTGACGGGTGTTTCTCCATTGTCGCGTTCTCGAACTTGAGATGCACGTTGTACCTGCACTGCTCGTTTTGACTTCTGCTGCAGGGGACTGCAGACTTTTGTTATCTGGTGAAAGCGCACGCATTTCCAGAAATGCCTCATACCTGCTGAGCAATCAGCAGAAAGCAGAAGTTAGTAGCACGCCTTAATGAAAACAAAACGGTCTTCTTTCTGCTAGTTTGAATATAGTATAATTACACGAATCCCATTCAGTGTAGCAGTATATATATATATATATATATATATATATATATATATATATATATATATATATATATATATATATATATATATATATTCCAGTGTTTCTTATGCAACTGTGTGGTTGTGACTGGTTACCACAGCAATCTTGGCCCCACACTCTCAAACAATACTCTAGAAAATTCAGCTTCTAGAAACTAGTCACATTAAAATGGTGATTTATATTGATAAACATGTCGCAGCAACAGCTATTTATCAAATTATTCAAATCTGTCAAAGCCCCAATAGTAAATAGGATGAAGGAAAAGGAGAAGAAATAGTAAAAAAAAAAAAAGAAAAGAAAAAGAAAGAAAGGAAAGAAAAGTCACCCATTTTCTGGAGCTTTTAATCATTATTTATCTAATTTATCATTTAGACAATCAAGATTCTTATCATGACTAGAAACTTACAATGATAAAGTATGTGATAAATGCCCTTCCTTATAGGAGCATTTTAAAAATGTTATTTGTCTTTTCCCTAAAATGCCAGACTGTGTTTAAATACAGATCTGAGGCGATGTTATGCCTGTTGACTTGAGCCCTATTAATGCTCTCATGGGGGCCATAATGAGGCACAGTATTCAACACTTGGTCCGTTTGGGACATCATTAACATAGTCAGTATGGAATACTGCTTAAACTGCTTCTATCAATATGTGGCACAAAGAAATACTTACGATCATGACCAGTCTTCAGGTCTCTAGATAAATTTATAGATCAACCATGTGTTTTCTTTGGGCTGATGTGTCACATCAGGGTTCAACGGACAAGGGGAAGATTTCTGCAATGTCTTAATCTGCTGCTTTTCTTTTCGGTCCCTAGGCTGAGGGAGACGTAGCTTCCCTTAACAGACGTATCCAGCTGGTTGAGGAGGAGTTGGATCGTGCTCAGGAGCGTCTGGCCACAGCCCTGCAGAAGCTTGAGGAGGCTGAGAAGGCTGCAGATGAGAGCGAGAGGTGGGCCTTTTTAACCATCCTGTATATTTTTAACCACATAAACAAGTATAGCTGGCATTAAAAGTAAATAAAAAAAAATGCAAAATAAGAGTTTTCATATCCCTAATATTTTTTTTCACATTTCAGCTATATATATTAACATGTTATATTGTTATTTAATGTAATAAACCAACAAAATGATGTGAATATTTGTTATTTAGAAGGAAAATTATAATTCATATTTTCTTAGAAATAAAAAAATCTAAAAACATATATATTTTATTTTTTTATCCTGGCTCACCCTGAACCCTGCTTCCCAATTCCTGCAAAACAAAACAACTCCTGCAAGCATGATGCTGCCACCACCGTGCCTAACAGTGGTTGGTGGGGTGTTCAGGAACACTTGCGGTGTTAGTTTTAAACAAGACAAAGCATTTTGTCTGTGGCCAAAATTTTAATGTTCTGGTATCATTTGATCAGATACCATTATCCACATGTTTGTTTGTCCCCTTAGCGACAGACAGTAAACTGTAAATACATTTTGTACATTCTGACAATAGCCCTCATATTCTTACACAAAACCTAGATTTTTGTGTTTCCAGTAGTGCTGCACCTTTTTCAGATTTAGATAATAGATTTAACAGTGGTTAAAGATTTAGCTGTTATTACAACCCAGCTTTTCCCCAACTTCATTACTGGGGTTTTTTCTGGTCTTTATAAAGTTATTTTTTTAGTTATAACAAAATACCTGGAGACAATTCATCACACCATTGATTAATTGACCTCTAAATGTAGTTTATTGCACCAAATCAATGTAAAAGTGGCTTTCTTTTAAAGCTGGTGAATATGAAAAATGTAAGTAATCAGTTGTGGTGTACCATGTGGACTGGACCTACACATCAACGTTTTTCAACTTTCTGATCTGTTTGTCTCACCACACAGAGGCATGAAGGTCATTGAGAACAGGGCCATGAAGGATGAGGAGAAGATGGAGATCCAAGAGATCCAGCTGAAAGAGGCCAAACACATTGCTGAGGAGGCAGATCGCAAATATGAGGAGGCAAGTTTTTTAATAAAACATGGAAACCTGTTTTGCAGCCATCTTTACCCCTATTAACTATTTTTTGGTATTATTTTGCTGTGTAACACTTTGTTGTGCTACACCCCAAGGTCGCCCGTAAACTGGTCATCATTGAGGGTGACCTGGAACGTACAGAGGAGCGTGCTGAGCTGTCAGAAAGGTGAGATCTTTTACTTTAACGCACTCCAAATCGCACTTGCACCCGCATGGCTGCTGGACTGGAAATATTTAAAGAAGCATTTTGCAAAACTCACACAATAGATGGCTTGTTTTCATTTAGAGAGTGTGCACTGTGTTCTTACTGTCATTTGCATGCCTCGTATTAATGGCCATGGCCTCTGCACGTATACCACGCCCACTAACAGGCGCGCTCAGAGAGTGGAGGAAGAGCTAAGGGTTTTGGAACAAAGCCTGAAATCACTAACTTCCACAGTTACACAGGTACATCCAACCTAATGTTATTACTGAGTGGCTTGTCTCAATGTCTGCCCTGCTGCATCGGCTTCCTCCTCTGTGCTTGTCCCTTTCCTGCCTTCTTTTCTGGATATCTTAGTTTTTTTTTATTGCCGAACATAGCAGAGAGCTGAGCAAGAATAATATCGAAACAACGCATGATATTTGAATGCAAATAAAAGCACTAAGATTGAATTTGCTGTTCTCACACTTCTGCTTTGTTGAGGCACTTTTAGGATTATTGGGATATCCTGTAGTTCTTATTTGATTCCTCTCTCTGTCCTTCTCATTTCCCATGGACCCATTCTGTGTCTACCCCTGCTTCTATCCATCCTTGTTCCCATGTCCCCACCCCACCCCATTTTTTTTTTTTTACACCCCTCCATCCCCCTCTTTGCATCCTTGGCTTTCTTTCCTCATGTGTAAAACTCCAGCAAATGCTCTGAACTTGAGGAAGAGCTGAAAACTGTGACCAACAACCTGAAGTCACTGGAGGCCCAGGCAGAGAAGGTATGTGTGACTTTCTGGGCCTCTGCATGCTGTTACACCTTTGTTACCTCCAGACTGAGGACGGGAGAGACAGAGGAGCCAAATCTTGACATTTCAGTTGATACTTTTGTCTATGAATGTGGATAATATGTATTATTTGATTCAATTGACTCTTTTGCCTCTGTTTTTGTACAACAGTACTCACAGAAGGAAGACAAGTATGAGGAAGAGATCAAGGTCCTCACTGACAAGCTGAAGGAGGTAATGTTTCCATAATCAAACCAGAGGTGTACAAACGCAGTTCAAGTTCAAACCAGATATCTCTCTTTCTGAAAGGCTGAGACTCGTGCTGAGTTTGCTGAGAGATCAGTAGCCAAGCTTGAGAAGACCATTGATGACTTGGAAGGTGAGCTTTTTTGTCTCAGTGTTTGTAAAATATATATTTATTTGTATTTAGCTTTTTTTTTTTTTTTTTTATCTGTTCCCTATTGAGTTTAGCCTGTTTCTTAAGATCATTAAGTCTTTTTCAGGCTGCATCATCTGATGCGATAACTCCAATCTGTTTTGGTTGAATCTATGTTTTAAATTCTGAATGCAAAGGAATTGTTTGGATGTTTTCAAAGACAGGTTAAGTTAAGGCATCATCGGTGAATGTTTCTTTGCCTAAAGCCGAAAGACTTCTTACCATTCTGTTTGCAGAGAAGTGAAGGGCTCCATAGTTCAAGTCTGATGGTTTTAGCAATATAAAACAAATCCTAATGAATGTATTTCCATCAGGGAGATTCAGCAGCATGTTGGTGATAAAAACTCTCATTTGTTAGCCTGTTTTGGCCTTATGTCAGACATGGAAAGTTCCTCACCCTTTAAATACCCCCGTTTTATACGATCCCTTTATTTAAATATACATTTTGGAAAAAAAAAAAAGTAAAAAGACTTTAAGGTATTTATCTTGAAACTGAAAAATGCTGTTGCTGTTGAGATGATCATTTGAAATATTGATCAAACATTTTCTTATGCACAGACTGATGCTCATTAAAAATCTTTGTACTTTTACGGTAAGATCTGCTTTAACAGGGAGTCCTTTAAAGCAGTCTCCCTATCTGTTGCCTAATATGATAAAGGTGCTTTTTCTTTAGTTTCAGGATCATGAGCAATATTTTTCAGGCTGCAAAAATTTGTTTATAACAGCTTGATTAACAGAAAAGTGTTGCCTGGAAACTTTCTGCTGATTTCAATCAATAAGTTACCATGCCATTTTAAAATGTTGGTAAATAATTGATCAGCTGCTGTAGAATTTTCCAGTTTTCTCCAGTTTTTTTGGACATACACCACTGACTAATCACAGCTGCTCAGAAAGATTAATGAGATCTCATCCTCAACTACCATTACTTAGAGATGCACCGATATTTCTCATCCAATCCATACCAATACCTGGGCTGATCGTATTTAACTGTTGAATGAATAAAAAATACTGTATATCTTGTCATGTGAGTGAAGGCTTTAGCCTTGACATAAACAGTTTTAAAACGGTAAAAAATTAAACTATACAAATAGATATAAATGTACCCTATGTTATTTATTGACAAGTAAGCAGCAAAAAGAAAAGAAATTACAGTTCTATGTAAAGTGCACCTGATTGGATCTCCAATATGAAATCACTGATATCTTAATTAGTCAAAATCGGAGCTGATATCTGATCCAAGTATCGGATCGCTGCATCTTTAGAATTATTCTGCATTGGAGCAGAGCTGAGAACATGACAACAAAAAGAAAAAAATCTAGCAAAGTTCAAATATTAGTATCTGCTTATATAGTGGTAATGTATCTAAAAGGTAAAAAAAAAAAAAAAAAGATTTTTGTTGTTTTAAATGGCTTAAATCAGCTAAAATTTAACCAACTCTCCAGCTGTTAGGCCTCCCACCCTTCAGAGGAGCATCACTTAAAAAAACAACAACTGCCCATCCTTTTAAAAGGAAGAGGTTTATTCCAATAAAAGTGTGACGGAACTCATTTTCTGCTGGTGTTTTTGATAATATCTATTTTTTCCTTCCTTTCTTCTCTATCTTTACTCTGGTTTGGATACTTCACCTTTCACCACCTTGCCATTTCCTCCACCTTTGTTGCTCTCCCTCCTCTGCACCCTGCAATCACCCACTTGCCCCACCCAATAGATGAGTTGTACTCCCAGAAACTGAAGTACAAAGCCATCAGCGAGGAGCTGGACCATGCCCTCAACGACATGACTTCCATGTAATTTCTGTCTTTCAACACCTGCCTGTTTCACTCTCACGCCGCTCACTTGTTCACTGCTGTCTGCCATATTAGGTTCTTGTACCAGGCCTGTTCTGTCTGATTTTTCTCTTTATTATCTTAACATGAAATGCTAAAACCTACCTTTTTCTAACTGTCTGCGTAATTTGAGTCTGTTTGCATAAACTATTATTCAAACAAGAATAATAGTTTGATTCAGTTTAATGCAAACAGGACAGATTTTAGGTGCAGACAGAAAAATGCATGAGTTGAATTGTCACTTTGTTTCACTCTGTTTTCTGTTCTCATGCATTTCAAAAATGCATGTTTTTTTTAGGATGTTTTATTAATTTCCCAAAGTTTTCTAGCTATTTTCTGAAACCATACGATACAGGCGTTTTACTGACTCTGGTTGGTGGATGTGTGGTGTTAGTATTCGACTAATAGGGTCTACTTCTGTCCAGAAGAAAGGCCTCCTGTATGTCCTTTATTTTGCCCTTCATTCTATCATTGTACCAGCTCAAGGTTAGTTGTAACGTCAGTGTTTAGCATCACTGTGGTTGAGCCCCCAGTTTTGCTAAGTTAATCTGTCTGTTTTGAGTTTGAAGTGAGGTTGTGTGGAGTATCTGTGAGTAAGTATTTCTTACCGGAAATACTGTAAATCTGGGATTTCTGACTTTAAATGAAACAACATGATTGGCTGATAGTTTGGCTCAAAACTTGGAAGTACTCCACATAACTCAACCCCAAAAATGGCATTGTCTCATTCTGATTAATGAGACTTAATTGTTTTGTTGTTAAGCTCTCCAAGAATGGGTTCTCTCAGCGTGTTGTGTAGTTTGAGTCCATACAATGTATTTTATGGTGCATTGGGTTTTTCTGTACTGCATCAGTGTGACTCCTAAAGCGCTGGTTCGCCATGGTGTATTGCTGAAGGTTAAAACACCAAACTCCTCGAGTTCACTTTGCTTCTTTTCTTCCACACAGATAAATTGTTTACATCTCATCAAAGATGCCTCCTTCTGCCCGAGCAGAAGCTGTCTGCTCTCTCCAGCCTGCTCTCCATTTTCCTTTTCCTCCCTGTCTTTGCTTTTCTTTCCTCCTCATGTTTTCGAGTCAGTTGCACCCCATCATTTGTACAGAACCCTAGAGTCTGCTGCGTTATTAAAAATAAACATCCTTCCTTCTATCTAAGCTGTATCTCTTTCCTCTGTCCCTTTTTTTTTTTGCCTTTCTTGTCTGGCACTAGGAAAACCAACATGCCTTAATGTTAATAATGTGTTTAATCCCATCAAACCTTATACCTCATATTATTTTCTTATATGTGATTTAATGAATTTCAATCAATGTCCTTTTTTCCTCAAATAATGTTCTGTGAAACTGAAGTATGAGAAATATAAAAACGGTGCTGTTAACATTTAAAGCAAAGGCTAATCCTGATGCTTGACTGAAAACTGAGTATCGGGAACTGATAAATGCATTCAGTAGTAGGGCATAGAAAGTGACTGACTAGAAGTATCGGAGAGCTGGTCAGCTGTACGGCTGAATCACTGTTTGGAGGATTGTAGTAAAGTGTAGTTTGGTCAAAGAGAAAAAAAGCATGTAAGAGTTGTGTAGCCTAATCTGGTGCTTAATTTGAAGGAATCTGCTTCTGGTAAATATAATAAACATACTTTGTGTGTTGCATAAGACCATGTCTTTGAATGTTAATAAATACACAGTGACAGATTGTGGGTTTGTTTCATTCAGTTCATAAACCCTAATTCAGATAACCGTTGGTGAGATATTGGAATATTTTTACAGAAGTGTTTTACATTTTGTGAAATTAGAATCACAAACTCCAATGAATAAAGGACAGACCAACACTGGATAGAGAGATAGATGTTACAAAATAGGATCTAAAAAGTTTTTTTGTCTGAATTCAGCACCTGTAGCTCTAATCCTTTCGGGTTTGTCTCTGCCAGCTTTGCACATCTGGAGAAATACATAACTGCAAAAACGATATAGAAATAAGTAAACATTTTTTAAATTAAGTGTATTTACCCTTAAGTTGAGTAGTTAAATAAGAGGATTTTCCAATGGAATGAGATTTTTTTTCTTGAGATAAGATAATTAGATAATATACAATTCAAATAAGACAATGCAATTGTTTTTTTTATTATTTTAATTGTAAATCATCTTGTTTCAATGTCAAAGTGTCTAACTTACCTCCTCTATTCAAGAAAGAAATGCATTTTTAAGAAAGATTTAGATTTTAAATTTTTGCAGTGATCTTTGCCATATTCTGCTCTGCAAAGTAGCTCAAGCTTAGTCAGATTAAAAAGAGCAGCACATCAGTAATTTTCAAATCTTTCTACAGATTTGTATGTGTGATTATGGCTTGAAACTAAACTATTCTCTAGTAGCTTTATCTCCGGAGGTCATTGAACTCCTAGATGATGAATCTTTTTCTTAAAACCAAGTGTTTTACTGGTATCCTCACAAAAACTGCCCTTTATTTTGTGTAAACTATTTTTCTATCAACTTTGAGCAGAAACTTGTGCTTGCTGAGGATTATTCCCACAGTATAAAGCTGCCACCGCCATGTTTCAAATGCTTAACTTAACATGTCGGCTAACAGATTATTTCAGCTGCTAATTCTTGGCAGGTACTCTTAAGTGTCTCTTGGTTGTTTCTCTCAGCCTGTTAGTTCAGAGTAAAGAGGCCTGTTACTGTCAGCAGATTAAAATTCTTCTTTTTTATCACTACTGTGTTGGTCTATTAAATAAAAGTCAAATAAGTATATGGATGTCTTGTTATTATGAAATAACCTGAGACAGCTCAAGGAGTGTATTCATACTTTTAGAAAGCACAATAGATCTTTTGTTTTGTTTTTTTAGTGTGTATTGGAAATAGACCGTCTGTAATCATGTGCTTCATTGTTTTAACAGAAAGTGTTTTTTTTTTTATTCTTTTCAAATAACTTTAGATTTTTAGTTCTTTGTTATTTTTTATCAAATAAAAAAATGAATAAGAAAACATAAAGTTATCAAGAAGCTCTGAATTTCATCTTATCCTTTAAATTGCCTTTAGTTTTTCTATAATCTCTTCAAATCATTTAGAATTTTTGTTTATCACAACAGAGAGATTATTCTGTGCCTCAGTGGAACATTTTCTGAAGCTCATTGAAATGTCTGTTTCCTTTTTTTTATTGGGGTAGTCTTGCAGTGGTCTCCGGTTTTATAATGCATGCATGGGTTTTAAATTGTGCACAATAATGAAAGGTGATAATCAAGGAGTGGAGCAAGGTGCATCAAATGACATGAAACCTATTCTCACTTCTGGGGTTTGAATCTGCAAAATATCTCAGTAATAAGTAAAATAAACAAAAAGTACATTTTAATAAGCTGTGTTCTAATCTGAGATAAATAGTTTTGTCTGTTAAGAGTTTAAAACAGCATAACCATTAAGAGACAAACTGCATCAACCTACCATAGTGCAAATGCATCATAATGCATAGTCTAATAACACCATAAGACCTCAGAGTTATGCTTTCATCATTTTTCAAGATATTAGTTTGTAATACTAATGATATTTTCTGTGTTTATGGTTGGTTCTGGAGCTGTATATGCTTTTCCTAACAAAAATTGGTATTGAACTGGTCATTATTTTTTAATATAAACCTAACTACATAAACAGATTTAGTAGGTGACAGTGCAGCAGCTCAAAATAATTTCCACCACAAAATTATACTTGAACATTATATCTCTTTTGTTTATTTTTGTGCACTATTTTTATTTTTATGTGTTTGCTGCTTTTTTTCTGTCTCCCAGTAATTTACTATTAATGCTAAACTTTTTGTTTAAGAAGTTGTATTGTATTATCTTTGTTTAAGCCAAAAACTAAAAATATTAACAGTAACAAGATACTTTTATATAGCTGCGTGCACACATACAGCACACTGTATGAACCTTTAATAGGAGCTATAGTAGATCTGGCTATTTGTGATGTAAAACATGACTTGCTCTATAATAACATATATACAGCACCTCAGGAACACTAACTTAGTATAGTGAAAGAAGTCCAGAGGTTGATGGAGACTATAGAGAAATATTGGACAAACAAATGTTTTTCTGAATATTTTCTCAAAAAGGATATGTATTTTATTCTAAATCATGTTTCAACATCACAAGGTGTGGATATATGTTCTTCAGTCCTTGTTTGTTGTCCATATCAATATGGATAGTTTATAAACTAACACAGGACTTCAAAAAAGACAATTTCCCACTTGGTATGTATTCATAATATTGGTCGTTGAACAAATGTTTCTATTAAGAAACTAATGTTTGTTGTGTTCTTATTAAATGTGCCTGAGTCATCATTTGATGTTTGCATTGTAAATTCTGTCGTGCTTGCAAAGTGAATGGTATTATATTAAAATATAAACCTTAAGACCAGGAGTCATAAACTGGGGTCTTTGGCAGTTCGGTAACTTAAGATGTAAACATTGAATCAAATGTCTGAACTGTCTCTTCGAGTTGAATCAAAGAGCCTTCCTTATGTTAAAGCAATTTTATTCAGGTGTGTTAAAGCAAAGCTGCTGAGGACCAGCCTTTTTGACTGCATGATATAACATTTAAAGAAAATGGTAACATTGTTTATTCAAGATTTCTGCAGGTCTGCATGGTGTTTTGCTTGTCATTAATGTACCTCTCTTGTTTTGTCAGTCATGTTGTGTTTTGCAAGCTAATCAATAATTAACTGATTTAAATGTGTTGCTGTCTTGATTATTAATGACGGCTAACTTACTAATTCACTGTTTGTGTTTTGAATTGTCTTTATTTCATGTTCTAACAGAGAACCTGTCAAAAGCTAAAGAAGAAAACCTGGATATGCACCAGATGCTGGACCAGACTCTAATTGAACTGAATAACTTGTGAACGCACAGTCCCGGACCCCTCCCACACGTACACACACGCAGTGGTTTGGCTTTTTGCATTTGCACGTTGCTTACCAAAAACCCCTCTTTTTATTCCTCTCCAATGATGGAGAACAACCAGCCAGTTGCTATTTTTATTGCACATTCTTGTTTTTAGCGGATCTCAACCCAGGAGCAAGCCAAAGAGAATGAAAGCATAGCCGTACCTGTTTGATACCAATACAAAAAAGTTTATTTTTACCACTGCCTTTTGCAGTTATTAAACTATGTATTTTTGTAGGTTTTTTTATTTACATTTCATCTGGTTAAATGACATGTAAAATTAGTGATGGAGATTGTTTTTCTACATCTGCGAAAAAGCTGATCTGCATTTTCCAGCTTAATTGTGCACATAGCAAAGGACAAAGTGGAAAGGTTTTGCCCTTAGTCCAATTTGATACTATGCAAAAAACAAAGTTGATTTCCCACAAGAATACCTGTACATGGATTATTGCCTGTCTGTATGTATACTGGTGCTACTGTATCGTTGATTCCATTGTGCATTACAGAATTTGGAAACTTAATGTGTCGTTAAAAATCCATGCTTCAGTTTTTTTCTTTAAAAAAAATTCAGTTCTGGTTGTGCATTATTTTAGTTTTATTTTTAAAATGGAAGTTTCAAATGCACAACATATCCTAATGTATAATTGATGATAAATAAAACCACGTTTTGAAACTTTTCCTACTCTGTGGTTTATATTGAGCATTGTCCACCACACATATTGGGGGGATTTCAAAAACTAAATGTATCTTTGCCAAAGATGTACACCTTTCCCCTGATGTGATCAAACTGTGCAAGATTTAGGCAGGCTTAAACGGTGCTTTATTTTAAAAGCATGTGTTCTAAATGGTAATGTAAATCTTTTTGAGTAGCCGACCTAAGTTGTGGTTGGAAATAAGGAAATATAACTGCTGAGCAGCTCTGCATATTCCCCCCCAGTATTGTAATAATTTATAAAAAGGGTTTGATTTATATAATTTTTGTTACAAACATAAGAAAGATGTAAATATGACATTTTTATAAAAGGTAAAATGCTAAAATGACATATTTTACATTACTTAACATAGTTTGAGAAAATCCTGCATATTAAAAAATGACTAAATTGTCTAAGTTTTAGAATTCTACATCAATGTTTTTAAAATACCGTTTGCTTTTATTAAAAACGATTTTTTTTTATTTTTTTATTTATTAAAATAAGAATTTAAGACTCCTGTGCACTTGCAAACAATTACATCGATTTTTATGTAGAATCGGGATTTGATTAATTTGGCCTAGTTCGAAGACTCAAACAGGAAGTTAACAAGTAGGTCCGCACCATTTATCAGCCGCCGAATAAAATTCTGACCGGAGTGGGCGGGATTTCCCCACCATTTCAAACGACGCTTGCAGAACATATGCGTGAATTAAAGATGTCAGTGTTTTGGACACCAAAAAAACAAAAAGTGTTCCTTAATAATCGATAACATTCAGGGAATTAGCTGCATTATTTGTTGAAAAAAAAAAAAAACGTTTTCAGTACCAACAAAAACGTACTTACCTCTCATCTACCAACCAATCAGATTTGTTTTATTTAATCCACATGCAGTACCCTATAATAGAAAGTGCAAAAACAGTTGTTTACATTTCCAAATACATCATATTTTAGCTTTTTTTCTTTTAAATTGGAGCATCTTATTTTTTTTTCTTTTACATCTTTCATCTCTTTATATTTTTATCTTATGCTTCACTTTCCTTTTTTTTTTTTTTTTTTTTTATATATTTTTTTTTTTTTATACATTTTTTGAAACCATAATTGCAATAAAATATTTGTAACTATTAGAAAAAAGAAAATGATTGCCGGGTAATTTTTTTTTTTTTTTTGCATCACTTTTTTTCTTTTCAGTTCAAGAATACCTTATTAATCCCAATGGGAAATTTAATGTTCTACTTTAATCTCTCTTTTTTAATTATTTCTGTGTATAAATGGTGGCATTCAGATAAACCTGCATGCTGTTACTTAATATTCAACTGAAGTTGTTTTCCTCTCAACCACTCCTCCTGTTGCTGCCACAGAATAAGATAATGAAAGCCTGACACTGCCACCGCCGTGCATAACAGCAGGGATAGTTTAGCCATAAAACAAGTCATGTCTTACAGGCTTGAATTTAGGTCCATAATGTCTAGGCTGGTTCTATTAGATAAGAATTTTTTTTTTTCAGGCACAGTTGGAGTGGGGTACAGTCTGTCTTAGAGAAGTGGCCCCTGAATATTCTGTTCACCCAGGACCCTAACTACTCAGGCCAGACATAGGGAGGGACCCAGTGGTTCCATACAACGTAGTTTCTGAAACCCGATTTCTTATCCTTTCCACCGTGCTATTCTCTGCAAGGCTCACATAATTTTGAGCCAAAGGAAGGAAAGGTAAAACCAGCCCTCCACTGGATAGCAGTTTGTCCTGTTGTACCCCATGTCTTCCCAGAGTGCAGTCATGTAGCAGGAACATCTCAAGGATGTAAAAAAACTTTTGTTAAAATTCCAAAAATGTTAAAGAAACAATCCATTGGACTTTGTTTCCAGGTTTGAAGACGTTTCACCTCCCATCCAGGAAGCTTTTTCAATACAAAGTGTCAGAAATAACGTTGAGTTTGGGATGGGAAGCGAAACATATTGGAAGCAAAGTCCAGTGGATTGTTTTTTGTTTGTTTTTTTTACTTGTTCTGGAATGATTATGACCTGGATGACTTACTTTGGTGGCTTATATAAGATCATTTTGAGTACGGTTGTCACAAAACTAAAATACAAAACTCAATATTGATTCCACAGGTAATTATTTGATACAGGAATGTCATGGGGATAAGAAAAAAAAGCAAAATATTTAAACTCACCGACAATACATTTATTGAAATAGAAAAAAAAATAAAAGAATAAAAATGTTCAGTGTCACCATAGAACAGGCCTTCTCAACAAAATTAGAAATGATATGAGCTTAAAATGTGCGCAAATAAATGCAAAAGCAAAAATAATATATTTTACCATATTTAAAACGGTTTATGACATTTCTCTGTTATTATGAAAATAATCCTGGAAATCCAACATTAACAATATCAAACAACAGTTGTATTTATTACTGCTTGTATTTACGGGCTACTGCATATAGTATTGATCATGGACACAATAAAGAGTATTGATACTTTGACAGCCCTTTTTGAGTAGATGATGGATAGGAAATAAACTGAACAGGTTAGAAAACAGCCTGGGGTAAACAACATTTAAATCCTCCATTTAGGAGGAAAACTCCTCAAGGGGTGAGAGGAAATGAAATTGCAGACAAGATAGCTTAAAGCTTGCAGAATATAGATCAGATTCCATTTGGGAAAGGGGAATGTAAAGCAATAATTAAAAAGAAAGAAACAGAATTATGGCAACAAAAATATGGGATGAAGTTGAGAAAGGAAGAAGATTATATAGAGTTCAAAAATATGTTATTGTTAAAAAATTATAGAGAAAGAAGCAGAAGGGAAGAGATAATTTATACTAGATTAAGAACTGGACATATCTACTTGAATGAGTTTTTGTTTGTACTAGGGAAGAGAAATAATGATTTATGTGAGGTTTGTGAAAGAAAAGAAAATGTGGATCATGTTTTGATGGATTGCATTAAATATACAACTAAAAAGAGCGGATGCAGAGGCGTAGCCAGAACAATTTTATAAGGGTGGCCAGGTAGTAAGCAATGTATACTGAGGGGTGGCCGAAAGGCGAATGAAGCTCAGGGTCAATCTACACTGTTCCAACAGAAAAATGAACAAGCACAACATCCATATTTTCTAAATAAAGACAAATGATACTGTCCTTCAATCTGCTAACAAGCAGATGCATATATTTAAATATCCGTGCTTTCTAGATAAAAGGTATAGTGGATACAATTCTTTCAGGTTTGAGTTCTGGGGCAAACATATTTCCTTTTGTCATTACTTACCTACTATTATCAATAATCATTCTGTATGAAGTTGATATTTACAAGTAATAATATCTACAAAAATTGATTATTTAATATTTTTTAATGTTTTTATTTTTTATTTTAACAGTTATTTATTATTTCACTGAAGACTCCTAGATGACTTGCATTTTCTCTTTACCCCATATAACACAAAATCTAGTTATGAAAAGAGCATGAATTATGTACTTATCATCTTTAATGTAAGTATATTGATGTGCATAATAAACCACTATGTTTTTTTTGTCAAGTAATTATGAATATATCCATCCATTTTCTGACACACTTAATCGAGGGGTGCTGGTGCCTGTCTCCAGCTGTCTACGGGCAAGAGGCAGGGTACACCCTGGACAGGTCGCTAGTCCATCGCAGGGCAACACAGAGAAAAACAACCATTCATGCACACACAAGCCAATTAACCTAACAGTCATGCTTTTGGACTGTGGGAGGAAGCCGGAGTACCCAGAGAAAACCCATGCATGCTCAGGGAGAACATGCAAACTTCATGCAGAAAGACCAAGGGCCAGGAATCAAACCCAGAACCTTCTTGCTGCAAGGCAGCAGAGCTACCCACTGTGCCACTGAGCAGACACAATTTTGAATATATGAAAAATTTAAATGTTTTGAAAATTCCAAATGAGATTATTACTGCTGCCACCATCTGTATTAGAGGGGGAAAAAATGGTGGGGGGGGGCCACAGGATTGGCCAAGGATCAGCTAAGGGTGGCCATGGCCACCCCTGGCCCTTCATCTAGCTCCGCCCCTGAGAGTATGAGGAAAGTAAACATGGAAAAACGGAGAGAATGGAGTATTAAAGCATTTTTTTTCCCCCATAACACAAAAATAAAAAATATAATATAGTAGATGGAACTATAGAGCTACACACTCATGTACAGTAGGTGGTGGTATGCACCTATAAGTCGTTTGCAATCTACCAATCTAACAAAGAAGAAGAATAAACTCCTCCCACACCGTCCGGTCATCCCTTCTCCCCAGCTTACCCACCGTCATACCGCCAACGAGCGTACCTAGTAAGTTATCAACAATGCAAGCAGTGGCAAACAGTAGAAGCGGAGTGTTTTTCCCCCACAATGTTTCGCGTGTTTTTATCTCGTGGTTTTTGTGCCAAATGTGCCCCACTGGCAGCCCCTCGCTCTTTACTACCACTGCAGGCAGACGCTGTTCGGGCTCAGAAGCGTTTTTTAGGGGGAACAGTCATCCGTAAGCAGCGATCAAAGTCCAAAACCTGGCTGTATGGGGTCGGTGTGGGCATTGTTTTAGCTGTAGGCCTGAAATACAGGTCTGACTCTGCAAACAGCTCATGCGATGATAAAATTAAAACTGCACAAAAGACCAATTCTTACAGAGATGCCATTAAAGCCAGCAGAGATCTGCTAGAAGGAATAAAGGTAGGCAAAGAGGTAATGATAGACAGCTTAGCTTTCTGTGTTATTAACCCAAATCATCTCTGCTGTCATCAGGCTGAGGTTGGTGCTCCTGGGCTGGTAGTTGGGGTTGCAGTGGATGGTGTTCAAGTGTGGTCTGAAGGTGGGTTGATCATCCAAACAGCCCAGAACTAATTCCCCACTCCAACTAACTATCTAACCTGTGTTTAAAGCTGAACAGGAACAAATGATTTCAGTTCATTTATAATGTTATTTCAGGCACTTTACAGAGACAATACTGTCAGATTGGTTAGGAAACCCAGTTGACTGCATCCAGTCATTGATTTGCAAGACCTGCTCCTCCTGGATGAGTCTGTGGCGACGACCTTCGCTTGCATTTTGTAGTTGACTCTTCAACAATCCCTCGTAAGAGCATGCATGTAGTGACAGTGGAAAGGAAAATTCCCTTTAACAGGAAGAAACCTCCAACAGAACCAGGGTCAGTGTGAGCGGCCATCTGCCGAGGCAGACTGGGGTTCAAGGAGACAGAAGCAGATATACAAAAGGCTAACTAGCTCCAAATATGGCCTTATTAGGGAAAGACAGAGCCAGGCACACAAGCTCCAATCTAATTCTGCTAGCCTCAGTAAAAGAAACAGGACTACACTGGAAACAGGCCAAGTTCTAACATCTATAAACCGAGATGTTGATAGCAGCAGCAGCCCAGCTGATATTTTAATCCAGAATGGAATCACAGATCAGATGAAGCTACTATGATTAGAAAAAGCATAAAAAGCAAAAAACATAAAGTTAAAAGTGGAACTTGACAAATGCTGTAGAGTGGGAGAATAGAGATCAAAGCAGAATGAGGAAAAGTGGTCCCTATGTGATCCAGCAGCCCAAACATATAGCAGCAAAAATAATGAAAGTAGCTTATGATAACTTAACTTAAGGAGAAACGTCTGTCAGGACTGAAATTATGCCACGCTAGATTTTGGCTGTTAACACCTTACCTCCAGCTACCTCTTTAGTCACCCAGGGACTAAGCAAACATCACTCTGTTTTTAACTGTTATCAAAAAGGAAAGTTAAGCCTTAAATTAAGCCTTAAAAATAGTAGTTATGGCAACTTAAACCTGATGGTGGCAGCATCAGGCTGTTAAAAATGGTTTTCCTTCTGACAGGGTGTCATGGTTGGGTTGAAGATGAATAGATAAATGCAATCCCTTGACAAAAATCTGTTTAATTAGAAACGGACATTATGCCTTGATGGAGATCCACCATCCAGTGGGACAAGGAGCAAAGTATACAGTCTGTACTATGATGAAAAAAACAAAAAAACATTAGATCTTTATCTTCAGCATAGTACAGAAGAAAAAATGTTTTGTGATTGCAAAAATCAGAAAACAAAATTGGATAGTTACCATTTTATTTTGAATCTCACTTTGAAAAATTCTCACATTTTGAAGAATAAACCCCACTAATGGTCATAATCATTCATTAAGATGTAAACCCGATCCTCCTGCTCCTCAGGAAGCTAAATGAGAAATCAAAGTTCTTCTAACCTTTAGTGGATTTTTCAGAAGGTATAATTATTACTTCAGTGTTCATTCACTATAATCAGCCAGCAGCTGTGAAGTAAAAGATTTGCAATATAATTAAGTGTCAAAATTTAATTACAGATATCTGTTAATAATATTCATATCATGTAAAGTAAATAATGTTCATCTAGATGCCCCAAAGTATAAGTCAGGTTTAAGTTCAAAAGATGAATCCATAACGACTTTTCACTTCAATGGTGATTTTTTTATGTTTTGTGAATCAATAAAAGGTTAATGAATGGTGAATATTTTTACATGATAGTAGGGAGGATTTATAGGAAGATTGTAAAAAAAATTATAAAATAACATAAGAAAGTCACATAATGTCAGAATTCAAAGAAACCATAACAATGCCATTAGCTTTTTTTCTAGGAACGTTTAAAACTTGAGAAAAGCACACATTTTTGGACAACTTATATTAAAAAGTAAACCAGGCAAACAAAATGAAAACATAGCTGAAGTTATAATGCATTGTTTACAAATAGTATTGTTTTCAGTTTAACTAAACAAAAAACAAAAAAATAATGTACCCATTACACCTGTTCCTAAGCTCTATAAGGATTGATATAGCTTAAAAAATGCTTGATTGCTTTCCGTAAAAATTCAAAAAATATCCACTGGACTTGGTTTCCAAGATTTGAAGAAGTTTCGCCATCTCTCCAGGAAGATTTCTTAATTTAAATGCGCTTCCTGGAGAGGTGGCGAAACATCTTCAAATCTTGGAAACCAATTCCAGTGGATATTTTTTGAATTTTTACGGAATGACTATGACCTGGATGACTAAGAACCTTCATCAGCATGCTTGATTGCTGTTTAACCAAGCTGGGCAAACAGTGCTGCCACTGATCATGTTTACTGATGGTATTCATTTTCTATTGAAATTATATTTAGCTCAACTTAAAAAGGAAATGGGTGTAGCTGCAGCTCGACTGAACACATTTTCTATTAAAAATTGCTTTACAAACCTGCCAACATATTTCAAATCCTTCAGGAAGAATGTTTTATAGTGAGATGAAACTACATCTGGTTTTGGCTCCCAACAAAAAAGGATAGTTGGTTCAAAAAACAACAACAACAAAAAAAAAAAAAAAACAAGCCACCATTACCCAAAGAACAAAAACAGGGAAACATTTGGTTGCAGCATCATGCACAGGTGTTCGTTTTCATCACATAGAAGTGTGGTTTCTGTCCAATTTGATCAAGTCATAAATTTACCCAAATACCAGTCAGTTTTTAATCTGCCTTAAGTCATAATTCTAAATCAATTTATCCTTGCCCAAACAAAATAAAAGTTTTGGATTGGCTGTATTTGGTGGCTTATTATCTAAACAACTTGGATCATTTGGGCCAGATAGAGTGAAAACATTTCACAGCCAAGTTGTAGTATGCTTTTAAATTCACAACAAAAAAGAATGATCGCTAAAAATGTATCAGAAAGTACTTCAATGAAGAAGTAAATGTTGTGCACATGATTAAAACTGGCAAAAGCTTTAAAATAACTGTTATGGCTCATTTTTTTTTATGGCAGCTGTGCATCTGTTTATTAGCTTTAGGGTTGGTTCTCAATGACTGAGAAATAAAGAATCAGATTTCCAGCTTGGTTTGCATTCAGAGAGTTCGTTATGAACAATTATGAAGTAAAACCAAAATCAGGGTGGCTGTGAACAAACCTGACGCTGCAGATGTATGATCATTAATCTTGACCCATAGCCGCTTTTCTGCACTGTAAAAACATCAATGAAATGCTTTTACAGCCTCTGCAGTCACTGAAGCTGTTATGTGATGCAGGCATTGGTTACGCTGATTTGGAGAATCGTGTCCCATGCTCTTCTGAAACGGTGATGCGAATTGCCAGCATCAGCAAGCCCCTCACATCTGCAGCGGCTGCACGACTCTGCGAGGAAGGAAAACTTGACCTCGATGCCCCCGTCCAGAAATACGTGCCAGAGTTTCCTCAGAAACAGTTTGATGGAAAAGATGTAAGTCATTAAGTTATATTAGAGATGATCTTATTCTAATATTTTCTTCCATCCATAGTAGACTTTTTTTTTCTGTTTAGGTTACAATAACTTCTCGAATGTTGCTGTCACATCTAAGCGGCATAAGGCACTATGAGAAGGATGTAAGAAAAGTTAGAGAGGAGAAAGAGAAGGCCAAGCGACTTCTAAAGCCTCCAGGTAAACAGAAAGAGGATGAGAAGATATCTGAAAAAAAAGAAAAACCCGAAGAAGATCAAACCTCTAAAAGCAAACAAAGCACTCAGACCCAGAAGAAAAAGGAGTTTGAGCATGAAGAGTACTATTTAAAGGACAATTTTGAAAGTGTCATCCAGTCCTTGGACCTTTTTAAAGACGACCCGCTCATTTTCAAACCTGGTAAAGTTTTTTACAAAATTATTTCCCTATGATACATTTTAATCAGTGCTGATTGTGACTAATTTTTTTACTACATTCTAGGCAGCACATTCCTGTACTCTACTCACGCCTTCACTCTGCTGAGTGCTGTTATGGAGCGGGCTGCAGGCCAGCGCTTCCTGGATTTCATGATGAACATGTTTCGGGAACTGGGAATGCTCAATACATTTCCAGATGAGAATGACCCCATTATATATCACCGCTCCAGGCAATCTAAAATATTTTTGTGTTTTTATCCTCTGCAGCACCTTGCAATAGCATCCACATCAATTCAGCCTTTTATGATATCTTTAGATTTATTTCTTTGGCATTCACCTTACAGACCATGAGTCTTCAATTCCAGTCCTCATGGTCTGATGTTCTGCAGCTTTGAAGTGTGTCTCTGCTTCAAATTAGTCAGTAGCAGAACTTGATTGCATACTGAGGAAGTAACTGAACATTTTATTTAAATGTATTGAAGAAGAGACTCATCTAAAAGGTGCGGGACACTGGAAATGAAGGAATGAATTAAAGACTCCAGTTATAAACCAGCACACAGTGAAGAAATACAGGGGAGTGAAAGGAAAGTATTTTGATATAATTTTTCCAAATGTGTTGCAATCAGCCATTGTTACCTTTATAAACCTTAACCCTTTAAAGCCCAATCCAAGAATAAAACAAAACAGAAAATTACTTTTTTTTTTGGTTTAAAGTCCTTATTTGGCCTTTTAACAAAATATATAAAAAGAAAAAACAGAAATACATTTTTGATATTAATAATTTATTACTATGCGATAAGTCAAGATAATTTTTTGTGCAGTCTTCTGCCCTCTGTTATCAGGTATATCTGATTGTGTACAATAGGATTTTAAAAAAAGTTTTTACCATTAAATTATGCAAAAGGTGTCAGACGCAAAACATTTCAGAAACCGTATATATCAAATATGATACATTTGGCATTACAGAGTTAAATAAGCTTCCATTGTAACTAGTTTCCTTCAGGAAGAGCAGACACAAGCCCATCTCAATTTCAATTTTTTTTTTCTGCATTTATTGTCATTACACTGTCACAAGTTCACCCATTCCTTTGGGGAGCAGTGGGCTGCCATTGTGCGGTGCCCGGGGAGCAGAGTGGGGTTAAGGGTCTTGCTCAGGGACCCAAAGTGGCAGTCTGTGGGAGTGGGGCTTGAACTCAGAACCTCTGGATTCTAAGCGTAATGCCCTAACCACTAGGCAGCCACCCCCTATGGCAGGAACAGTATTCTGGTATGAAAATAGACTTTACAAGAATTGTAAGCATATGCCCAAGTTGTGAAGAAATACATAATCTTCATACATTATCTGGTGCAATTATAAAACAGTATCTCAAACTTTCAGCTTGAAGTATTGTTTTATCTGACAAAGCAAGTGTGTCTTGGTATATTTGCAGATCTGCAAAAAATATACCAAGACACAGCCACCCACCCTCCCTGACAACCTGGGAAAAAGTGGCAGAGGCTTCAACAAAGCTCAGGGTTTCTATGGAGTAACTTCAGAGATCTACAGCTTCAATGAAAGAACTGTTGAAGGATACATTAGCCTGACAAGACAAACATACCTTCCCTGATAAAACATGGTAGTGGCAGTATCATGCAGAAGTTCAACTTCCAACAGGACAAATGTTTCCATATGACCAGAACCTCAGTAGAATGAAAAATATCTTATTCTTGTTCAATTTGGAATATATGCCTCCATCAAATCTGACTGAGTTTGGTTTGAAAGAAGAGGAACTTCTTTTTTAGTTCTTGGATGTGGAAAGCTGATTGAAAAAACCTCATTATTATTTTTTATTTTTTGCAGTAAAATTGGGTTCTTTAAAGGATTGACTTAGTGGTCTTAATACATATGCACCTCATACTTTAAAGGTTTTTATTTGTTAAAAAATTTCAAAGCACTTTCCTTCCACTTCAGTTCTGCACTACTTACTGATGGTCTATCGAATAAAGTCTTTAATGAAACAATAATTTTCTAGTTAAAATGTTACATTCCACTGCATATTTCTAATAAAACTCATTACTTTAGTGAAGATGTTGTTTGGAGTAGAAATGTTTTCAACACGGTCAAATCCAACCCTTTGTTTACTGTCTCTGCAGATTTTATCATCGCAACAAGCGAGGACGAGTTGTAAACTGCCCATATGTGGACAACTCCTACAAATGGGCAGGAGGCGGCTTCCTCTCCACAGTAGGAGACCTGCTGCTCTTTGGTAACGCTCTACTGTACAGTTACCAGGTGGCTCAATTAAAGGACACTAAGGGTTTGCTCCCTGGGTTCCTAAAACCCGAATCAGTTATAGAGCTTTGGACACCGGTTGATAAGACTGAGGCCAGCTGGGATAAGGACGGACTGTACGGCCAAGGTTGGCTGGTGGTGGAGAAGCTGCAGAAGTACGGTCTGTGCAGGAAACGCAGGCATTACGTGTCGCACACAGGAGGAGCTGTGGGAGCCAGCAGCGTTCTTCTAGTGCTGCCTAGTGAGGAGATCGATCGATGCCAGGGACAGACCCCCCTGCTCCCGCAAGGGGTGGTGGTCACCATAATCACAAACATGCAGTCCGTGGGTCTGAACAGCACTGCGCTAAAAATTGCTCATCACTTTGACAAAGCTAGAAATGTGTGTGAATAATTCATTTAAAGTTCATGGAATATATGGCTACTTTTTTTTTTTATACAGATTGAAAATCCTTTAAACAAAAAACTATTAACCCATATTTCATCCATTGGAAAACAAATATAACTTTAAATTTGTATTTAGAATCTAAATTCTGTGTTTTTTTCTCAAGTTTATCCAGCTTTCCTAAAACTGTGTTCATGTCCCAGGTCAAGAGAGGCTAATGTCTGATTGATAGCATTCCTATCTTCTATTTGTTTTTTCTATTCAGGCATGCGTGCTGCATTGGCAGCATGCTTCTAGTTATTATCGTGCTGAAAAATGTCACCCGTTGAGTTTCCGTCCAGACCTTGTGAAATTTGGCATTCCTCTTTCTTTTCCTCCTTGCTTCCTTTCATAGGAAAGGCTTCACACCCACTGAAAGCAATGAAGTAATTCCTGACGGGAGTTTCAGTAAGTGGGTGGCTTTGGTGAAAGGAATTATAGAAGAGGCAAATACTTCCAGGTCCTTCTGTAACATCTTTTATTCCTAATTTAAGAACCTGTGGCTGTCATCTATTCTTTTAGACCTTAATCTTCTTTCGTTTCCCCCATTTTCCAGTTTATTAGTTGTTTGCAAGGTTGCAAGGATGTTCAATAATTTTTTTTTTGGCCTAGATAAATTTAGAAATTTTATAAAAGCAAAACCTCTTGTCTTCCAAACATTATTTTCACTGACATTCATTGATTAATGCAAATTATGCAAAATTGTTTTTGTAATATCCTGCTTTTAATTAAAGATTGTATTTTTAATGCCATTTTTTGCAAAGTTCCATGTAATTTCTATCTTTTTACACTCAAATGAATAGTACATACTTTTAGATGCAGAACGAATAAAAAGAAAAAAGATTGGGAGAACATTTTCAGGAACGCCTGTGAATTTTATTTAAGTAAATAGAATAAATCCTAGAATACATCTCAGCAAAGTTGATGTTACATTAATAGTGCGACAATATTACGAATACAATTATGCTGCATAAATGCATAAAACCAAAGGTATCCCTTTTGCCCAACAATATGTCTAATCCTTAATAAATACGTCAAAGTCTGTTTTTCTAAACTGGAGTTTGAATAAAAATTGAAACAAAGTCGACCAAAACAATCAGATGAGTCTACTAATGTTTATTCAACTTTTTTTAGACCACAATTTTCTAACTTAACTTTCATATTTTTACATTTAGTATTGATCTCTACTCTGAACTAGTTTGAACTATAATGCTCATAGTTCAAGCTCTTTGCATAAGGATTATTTTTATGCGTGCCTTTTTTTTTCTCTCTACCCGAATATCGTAAACTTTAATAAAAATGTGCAACTTGCATTTCTTTAAACATAAATCAAATGTTAAAATTAGTGCTTTGCTTCTCCTTGCTGTTTTTTTTTGTGCATAGTAATGGTATCAAATAGTCTTTGTGCCTATTAATGATGAAATGAGGAAGCGGATGTTTCTAATATCTGCAGAAAGAAGTGGAAATGAGTCACTTTGTTTAACTAATTCCTCAGTGATTGAAATGAACATTAAGAGCTGTTGTTATGGTTCTCTTTAGAAATACAGCATTTAAAAAAATGTATCAACATTTTGAGTTTTGTGAAATAAACAGCCTTCTAAAACTTTGTTGTATTTTTATTTCTTAGTAGTTAAGATATCTTTTCTGCCACAAGGTGGAGATGGTATACTGTGGAGCTTCTAATCTACAGTCATTTTCATTCAGTAAAGAGGTTTTTTTCTTATATCAAAGACACAATAATCTCTTAAAACAGGCAGCACTGAATAAGGAGTTTAATGAAAAAAAAATTGGTTATTTACATTTGAACAAAAAAAAAATGCATATAAAAAATTATATCCTACTAACCCATGAGGAAACCTCTCTCAACACGCAACCAATGAAATATTTCTTTCGAGCGTGGATACTTTTGTTCTGGCCTCTGAACTTCTCCACGTCAGGGGGGATGGGGGTCCTGGAATTTAACTTTTAGGTCCTTCCTTAGATTCCCATAACAGAATTTACAAAGACTCTGCTTGCACCCCTATACAGTGTTAGGACTTTTTGTGAAAACATAAAACTAAAAAAATAAATAAAAACATGCTGGTAAGCTTTAGATATCAACCAGGGATATGGAAATTTGACTGTAATGATAATGCCATGCATAAATGACAAAGGTTCTTATGAAAGGTGATTTATTTTTTCTTCAAATAAAAACTTCATTGTTCAAACTAATTTATTCTGCAGTATTTCAAGATATAACAGACAAAATAAAAACCTATGAATAAAAACGAAAGACAAGTTTAACCTGGACTCAATTAATTAGTATAAGTATTGCTGTTAAAAATACAATGACTGGTAACAAAAAATATGTACATATATATATATATATATATATATATATATATATATAAAGATATTTACTGTGATATTGAGGTTGTTGTTTAATTTAACAATTCCATCAAATAAGTCCAGCAATCTGTCCAACACACATTAACATTTTAAGGATCTATAATCTTTAAGTGTTTATGTTATCTTTATCTTTTTATTTTAGGTTTTTAGGGAACAAAAAAAACTCTTAGACTTAAACGGAAGTAAAGTTTGCCATTTTGCACGTATTCTCGCATTTCCAGCGTTGTGAGACCTGGGGATGGGATGTTAAAGGTGTTTTGGGGAATTGAGATCACTATGGCCAGTCTAGAGGTTCTCTTGGGCAATTACAATTTCACAACGGCTTAAAAAAGCACTGTCATAAAAAAAGGATATGAATAAACCGTCTTCATAATTCTAAAGTAAGCACCATAGAATATACTAAAACATTTACAAACATGTTTATTACAACTACTTTTTTAAAGCATCCAGTTACTTTTTACAATTGGTTGCTTTGTTTTGTGTTAATTTGTTTTGTTTTTTTCTACCAAATATTTCACAAAACAAGATTAGGTTGTCTCAACTCACTTTTCGAAAGCACATTTAGAAAAATACACTGAAATGTAAAAAGTTGTGGCTTCTAACTTTTATCAAAGTTAAGAAGCTGCATTAATTTCCCAACCACTTATTTCATATCTTCCATAAATTTACTCATTTTAAAAGAGACTCTGCAGATTACATAGTTAACTGTAACAAAATTAAAAAATATATTTATTATTTTAAAACACACACAAACACACAGAGATATCATTAGGAAAGCTCATATGTTCGAGGTTTCTCTGAAGAGGCCCTTGTTCCGTTTTTGTTCTGTCATTTTTCCTTGTCTTATCATCCTGTATATGGAAGGAAAAAAATAAAGATTATATTACATTTATTAAATTGCATCTACTGTAACTTTATATGGATCTATATCATTTAAACTTTTAGATGTTTCAAGAGTATGGGTAGTTTTGAATAATTTACTTACTTTTGCACATAGTAGATGACAACAGCCAGCACCACCAAGATGAGGATGACTATGATGATCACAGCTGCTAATAATCCTCTCTCCATTTCATCCAAAGATTGATATTGTAGCGTTAAATGCTCACATCTGCTTCCTGCGTAATTTCCCGTGCAGCTAAAAGCGGTGAAAGAAATTAGGAAATTTGTCAGCAACATCAACCTCATGGTTCTCCATATATTTCTTCCTATCAACTACCGGTATTTAAAATTACAACAATTTCTACATGCAAGGTAAATGCAAGTGTTTGGGCCTAAATTTGTTTGGATAGAATAAATCTTTGTGTTTGCTTTACGTTACTTACTGGCAGAAGAACGTATCAATAGATGGCATTTTATAACATGTCCCTCCATTCATGCAATAGGTTGCATCTTGTGGATCACAAAGCTTTCCGTGTTCTAAAAATGATACAGGATTAGTCATCAATTTAAGCACAGCTTTGCTGTTATGGTTACCAAGATGATTTACCTTCCATCATTTGAAGTGCTTTAGCTGTGGTATATCCTAACAGAAAACCTGTTGAGAAATGTCAGCTATAAAAACATAATTCAATTTACAAGTGGTTTCATTAAAACCTCCTTTTTGTAAAACATTTACTTAATTTCAATAATAAATGGGACACCTCAAATTAATAAAAAAAAATGTTTCTTACCAGCTCATGAAATCCTCTGCTGCTGGTCCTTGAGGTAAATCTTTGTGGCACCTGCATCTCTGTGCAGTTTTCTCATGTGGGTGTGCTTTTGCTTAAAGAATGCAGCAGTGGCAGTTTATCCACTTTTTTAAATGGCAAGTGAAATGTCAAGTTACAGCCCTCTTATACTTCCCCACTATCTCTTAGTATTTTACGATGTTCTAAACAGTAAATTTTAAGACAAGTTGTAAGATTTTTACCTCATACGTTGGCTAGGAGGGTTTAATTTTACCTGGTGAAGCTTGAATGTTTTCTTTTTCTATTTAGCAGAATGATGAGGAGGGAAACACCTGTTTGCCTTGTGAACTTTGCCTCTCTGGGTTTGGTAGGAAGCATGAATGATCGGTATGCGGCGAGGCATGAATGGAATCGTGAGAACTTTCAACGAAAACATCCCATTGCGTATGTCAGACGAGTAATTGTTTTTGCCCTGAACCGTTAGCTGACTCACCATCTGGCAGCATCTTCCTTTTAATATTTTGGTTTCATGCTTTTAGTTTCATGATAGATACAATCACTTCCAAAAACAGTGAGGTACTCAGGACCTGTTCAGTTAGGATATAATGTCCTCTGTGACAGGTTTATGTGATGCTTCGGCCACAGCAAAACCATTGAGTTTTAATGGGAAGTTTCTTGAGAAATTACAGCAGGTGAATATTCTCAGTCATCGAGGTCATAGTCGTTCCAAAAAAGTAAAAAACAAACCACTGGACTTTGTTTCTAGGTTTGAACACATTTCACTTCCTATCCAGGAAGCTTTTACAATTCAAAAATCATCCAGACTTCTTAATGCAGTCTGGAAGTTCCACAGGGTATGAGACCTCCCAACTTCATGAAAGCCCACAATGTGACTCCAAGTCATTGAAAAGTTTTTTGTACTAACACATTTTGGAGATGTCTTCTACTGTGTTGAAACATCTTAATTTTTCCAGTTAATTACTTAAAAGTAATACTCAAATTGTGATTTTAGCACCTATGTTCTCTATCGCGAACCCCATCTATTTAAAGCCTGTGTCATTCAAGTTATATTTGGTCACCTGTCTGAATCTGCAACAACAATTATAAAAATTAAATTACTTTATCGGTCAATTATGTTATTTAGCAGCAACTGTTTTCCCATCAACTTTTATCCAACACTCTGTCCTTACTTTTTGGCAGAGTTGCTAAATGAACGCCATGGTTCTAGGAACAAAATTAGGGTGCCATTTCCCGTTTTCTTAAATCCTCTTAGGGAGTGGATAGCAGGACAATGGCTCTAAACATAAATCAGAGCTAAAATGATATAGTTTATATGAAAGCATATCAGTGTGTAATGGTACAGTCACAGTCTAGACCAGAGGTCATGGATTAGCAGACCACGGTCTCATCTGGACCCACCTGCTGGCTAATTCGGACCCAACTTGATTTAAAACATTTATAAATTACCGCATTTTCTCAGACGAAAGTGTCTAACTCTACTTGGCCGCTTCTCTCATTAATATGATAAAGCCCTCCGGAGTGTCAGGGACCAGGCTACACGTGATACAAATTAGCCAATGAACGGAGTCAGTCTGAGTTGCTGCTACTAGCCACTTTTAGACACAGCAGGCAATCCTATGGCAAGGCAGGCGATGGGAAAGAAGAAGATTATGAGAAAAAGAGAGCAGAGAAAGTGTGGACTGCTGGAAGAACAACAGTGAACTGGTGAAAGAAAAGTGAAATGGCCTGCTCTAAGATGACCCTGCACATTTATTTTGCGTATGTTTGGCTCAACCTACTGCTTTGAAGCAGGATTCTCCACCATGAACATAATCAAAAATAAATATCAATCCAGGCTCAAAATGAGCACCTTGATATGTGCTTCAGAATGGCTTTGTCGCCATTTAAACCCAGGTTTAAAGTCTTGCAGTGCAGCCCAAAGCCCACTTCTCTCATTAAGCTGTAAAAAATAAAATAAAAAAATAACAAACGATCAGTTCAGGTATTTTATAAAATATATCAATCAGGAAATTGTCTATATACCAAACTGAATGATTGTTATTCTCTAATTAGAAAAACACTTTAGATTTTAAAATGGAAAAAAAAGTTTTATTTAAAAATCCAATGTATAACATGGATGCATAAAAAAACTCATTTTATTTCAGTGTTAAATTCTGTTTAAAGTAACCTATTATAATTAAAAATGTCGCCGGACTTTTACTGGTTGTTGGTTTTTCTTAATTCGGACCCCGCTGATTTTTAATTGGTTACACCTGGTCTAGACCTAAATCCAAATGAGGTGGTAAGATGTGGAACTAGATGTTTCCCATTCAGACAATATCTTGCCCACGACCAAAATCAAATTAGAAAATAATCCCAAAAGATTACATCCTGATAACCTAATTAAAATTAATAGAAAACCAGCTGGAAAAAAAAAGTTAATATCCATTGTTAGGCTGGTGACTCTCATCTTTATTTGTCCATGTCCTGATGAAACTAACTCTGTACATAGACCATGGGTTATGTGGATGACTTTACATTTTTAGCCTTTTAATGCTTAGAAAACAGAAATTAATGTATTTTTATCAATGTTTGAAAAAGGTGCCGAGTAGTCAGTCACTGCATTATGACATTAAATTGGTTTCAGATAATAATGTAAAACCCCTTGGTGTTATTTTTGAATAGGACATGCCATTTTAAATCCCTCATTAAATGGTTCTAGAATTTTCTTCTTTTATCTTTCAAGTGTATCCAAAATTAGAAATATCTTGCTTCTCTGCTGAGAAACCAGTCCATTTGTTAATTCAGGGCTTGGCTATTGTAACTTGTGCAGTCAGGAAGTACACAGAAGGAAGTTAAAAGCCTTCGGCTGATCCAAAATGCTGCAGCCAAAATTCTGATGAAAATTTAAAAGGAAGGTGCAATTCCTCTTATCTAAGCTTCCATGAACTGAGCCACTATCAAGTTCCATTGGAGATGATAATGTTATATGTGCTCTCTTTTATCCCATTTGACATTTAAGTGACTCATAGCTCATTTGCTTAACTGTTTAGTGTTTCTAAGAAAAGGTTCTGTCTTTTTCCTTGAACCCTCAGTTAACCTCAGCACACAATGAGCCTGGTTCTGCTGGAATTTTTTGTTTCTTTTCCTATTAAAATGTAGTTATTCCTCCCCACCATCACTACATGCATGCTCAGGGTGAGGGATTGCTGAAGAGTCACTAACAATGCAAGATATGACATTGTTAGTGACTAGTGACTGCAAATCCAGCAGTGTGAGTGACTGGTTGCAATGAGCCTGATTTCCTCATAGAAAACTTTTAACCAATCTGAATGTGACTTGAATGAAATGTATCTGTAAAGCACCCTGGGATCACATGGGTTGTGATTTGCCACTCAATAAATCAAATGAATTGAACTGAATAATGATATTGCGATGTTCTCAATTCAGTTTTTGCATAGCGTGCTGTATTGTACGCGTCCTGTGTTCAGTTCAACTGAAACATCATTAGTTCAACTTTTTTATTTTCTTTAGTCCAACTGTTTTTAATGTTCTTTTTTGTTTCTGCATTTTTTATTTTCTTTTTTTTTTCCTACTTGCTTTGATTCTGTTTTATTTTCCTATATTTTAATCATGTAAACCACTTTGCATCGTCTTTGTACTGAATTGTGCTATACAAATAAATTTGCCTTGCCTTGCCTTGCCTTGTACACTTCCGCTAGACATGTAAACATGGTAGAGGCATATTCTCTAGAAAAAAATACATTCTTATTATAACTACTACAAGATGGGGAGTGACGGCCTAGTGGTTAGGGCATAGAGCTTGGAATCCTGAGGTTCTGAGTTTGAGGCCCACTCCCACTGACTACCAATTTGGGTCTCCAAGCAAGACCCATAAGCCCCACAGCTCGCTGAGGGGATGGGTGAAATGCAGAGGTTAATTGCTCCAAAATGTATTATTATTATTATTATTATTAAGTCCTTATGACATGGTCTGACTTTATTTGAATTTATATAGGGCCATATACACTTATATACAGTACTGTGGGGAAACAATACAATGAGGCTGGAAACTCATAAATTGCATTTAGCACTTTGCTGCCACTGAAACCTTGAATGTACCTGAATATATGGGCCTATCAATTCTTTTCCGTGCGGGTGAGTTGTTATCGCGAGGAACTCGAGAGTAAAACGAAGCTAGTGCGTTTTCCTACGTCGACGCTTCCAGAGCGACAGAGAAACGGGGACATTCAGAATGCTGTGTCCAGGTCTTCAACGTGGACCGCATTAATGAGTGGATCAACTAAATCTTACCCTTTTTAATAAAGATTATACCCCGTTTTTTTTTTTTTCTCGCGCTGACGCCCTTTCACAGCACATCTGCAACCGCTGCTGTTCGTCTTTCAGCACCTGGACAGCTCCCCGTTATGCAGCTCTTCTCCTCATTATCATCATCAGGCACATGGAGTCCCTGGTGTGAATGTGGGGGAAGCCCTGCGAGCTCATCATGCTCCTCCGGATGCGGTGAAAACCTCGTTGTCTCCGCTAAAGGATGCTGCTTCCAGCGCAGAGGAGGTGTTCTCCATCCTCTGAGAAGAAACGGTACGTGCGTGCAGTCGAAGGAGATTCAAGCCTGATCGCTGCCTACACACAAGAAGATCCGAACTTCAGTCTCATCGATCATCATCATCATAATGATAATCGATTAAAAAAGGAATATCACAGCTGTGTGGTGTTTGGAGCCAGGACCATGTAGAAAATACAAAAGAGGTCAGTTGGCTTTTATTCAAGCCTAAATACAGTGATTTTTGGTGTGGTTTTTTTATTTGTTTTTTTGTTAAATCATAAATACAAATTGGATTTTGAGCGCAGAGCGGAAATGTTAAAAGCCTTAATGACTATATAAATAGCCTGTGAAAAATAACTGGAATTGCCTCCGTGTTACGTTAAATGCCGAGAGAGTGGCCAGAAATAGCCCAGGGTGATTTTTACACGAAATGAAACAGCCTATTAAAATGAGAGCCTTTGTGGAGAGGCTGCAGCACCCATTGGGACAAGGGTCAACTCAAGATGTTGACTGAGGAATTTAGATCCGTGTTTGTGATTTTTTTTCCCCCTTTTCCGTCACCTTTACACTTTGTTTTGGACCTTTTTGAACATATTGTATCCCCAGGGGATGTTTTTTTGTTTCTTTGTTTGTTGTTGTTTTCTTTTTCTCTATCAAAGAGTCTTTTGGGGATTGCTGCGGTGAAACAGACCTCTCAGCTGACCTATGTTGATTTCTCCTGAGCAGCATTTAATTTGCTGTGCTTCAACAAATCTTTCTGCTCTGGCTGTGAATGCTGACAATGGGGAATTTAAAGGTTATTCCCAGTTTAAAGCAATATCACAGATTTTAATTAATCCTAAAGCAAAACCTTTATGTAATATTGTTGTCTTTTTCAACATGTGATGATCTGTATGCTGTGGTTTTTAAATCTTTATTTAATATTTTTATTTTATTGATCAACTTGAACATAACAGAGACCCAAAGTGGCAGATTCTATGAAATGTTTATCAGCAGAAAGAAGCAGAAAGTGTTTTAAAATGTCCTGGTAGATGAGTTTAGAACTGAGAAAACACAGTTGAAAAATGGCACCAAAATGTGTCACAGATGTATATATATACATACATACATATATATATATATATATATACAGTGTTCTATTTTTTAAGGAAATATAACAGAATTTTTATTAGTTCTTAAGGAAACACTTCAACATTAACAAATACGCTGCTTTGATGAATTGCTTGAGGTGTATTCGATGTGCATAAGACAATTTTGTTTAAAGTTATAGTAATGCAACATCACTAACTAGATCAGTAAGTGCATTGCTACAAATTCTAATCCTATATGGCAAATAATTTCTTAGTAGGTGAAGAAAGGTAAGGAACTTCTGAAGCAACACGTGCTTTAAATGTTTGTTATAAAATTTACTTCTCTTAAGATCTGACTGAAATTAGCCATTTAAGACATTGTTATAAAGGACAGTTAATTTAGTCTTTTAAAAATGTATTGAATTGGATGAAAAATATCAGGCACTCTATATTTATAGTGGATTATAAGAAGTCAGGCTATTGAGAGAAAAGATGAAAAAAATTATGTACTAAAGTTTTTTTAAGGGGTCGAACAAACATACCAACTCCACTGGTGAAAACTACCTAGCTATATTTGGTTTGAGGGATGTAACACAGTTTTACATGGGAATTTGATGGGATTTGTTCTCCTTAGAGTACATGGAACATTTTTAATAAATTGAATACTTGAGGAGGTCATATTGCTTTTTATTTAATGATTAACTCATTAAAATTGCTATTTTAATAGTAACCCATACATCAGGCAAAATCTTGTTTTCAGACCATCAAGATTAGGGGAATAAATTGAACCACTGAATCTCTGGACCTTAGTTGAATAGATACTGTAACCTGCTGTCCACATCACAATGCTAATAAGTGAGGGAAAACAGGAAGTGTAATTAAATCCAATTATCTTGGGTTCAGATACCAACTCACAGTTACCAGTGATTGATCTATTTCATACAATTTATATATATATAAATGTATATATATATAATTGAGAAGTGATATTTTGTCAGAGAAAGTCCGATTATACTTTTCTGCCATTATCTCAGTAGCAATAACAAATATGATATATTCTCTTTATGTTTTGAATCAGCATAGAATAGGAAGTATTATAGAGTCATTTTTACACGTCATTTATGTGAAAATAAATAAAGAAAAAATTAAATAAAAAATATGATCTTTAGTTTTTCATAATCCGGGTTTCGGGTTTTTTTGTTGTTTTTTTAACTTCAGGAGTTTAGAATCTTGAATTGAATTACTGTGATAAATTGACTTTTCAACGGATGCACCTGTAACTTTTCACATCTGTTTAGGCACTTTACCAATTCCCACTGAGTAGACTCAATTGGCTCTCTGTGTAAGGGGGGACAAAGAGCAAGCCCTCTCTGCACTTACTATGCAAAGGGTGTGAAGTCCTGAAACACCCTGATCCACAGAAGGGAACACATATTGGATGAAACTTAAAATCAATTACAATTCAGTGTACCCCATGAAAATTGTTGAACCCATAAATCCTAACTGGCACTGGAATTTTGTTGATGAATTTACATGAATTTGTCTGTTTCAGCTTCATCTTTCCTTTTACTCCAGCATTAGAATATTCCATTTGTGCTTAACATATAGTAATTCATTTTGTTTTACCATATTCTGTATTCACAGATATGGTCCTGACCAGATCTCTTCAGTGGTGAATTCACATTTAGCTCTTGGTTTAATTTAAAGAAGAGAAATTTTCAGCAACAAGACCTTGACATGAGCAACACCCAGTAAGTATTGAAAGCATACAGGATCATGTGAAACAAATACTGAGATAAAAAGTATGAAAATTCTGATTTTTCTTGACCTCCACATAAGCAGGGATTTGTGCAAAAACTCTTTTCATTGTGTGAGTACAGCAAACCTGTGTCAGGTTCACTTAACATTCAGGAGGGATTGTTACATGTCATCTTCTCTTATTAATAATTACTCTGTGTGTGGTCCCTCCGATGAGCTCCGCATCCTGATTACGGGGAGGTTAGGGCTGGAAAAAGGGGGGCTGAGTTAGAGGAAGTGAAGTGGAGTAGTGTGAAGCTGAGAGAGAGATGAATGCAAAGTGTGTTCAGTCAGCTGCATCTTCTGCAAAGCGCAGGATGCTACTTGGAGCCAATCGGGTCTTTTGTCTGAGCTTCCAACCAGCAGATTAATGCTGATTTTGGTTAAATAGTTAATTTATCAAATTAAAACCAATACAGATAATTTACATATAAAGGACAAGAAGTGACCAAGATATAGATTGCTTGTAGATATAAAACACATAAGGATTCAGGTTAGGTTAACTGATATCTCAAAGAAAACCACGTATTTCAGCTCACTGGTCTTCATCAGAGCATGCTCGGCTGGTGGGCTCAGACATTGGCACGATTCTTGTTGAAGTGGCCTGGAAAGGAATTGTTGATTGAAACGTGAGTCAAACCAACTCTGCAGTCTTCTGTCTGTGCTACCAAGAAGCTTTCTTCTAGATCTAGCTTATTCTAATACTAAGGTTTAACAGTGCCAGTAAAAAAAAAAAACAATGACAGTGTATCTGTTTCCAAGAATTAAACAGTTGAGGTGCAAAGAAAACTAACAGAAGAGGAATGAAGGTTGGTTTGGTTTCATACAGCACTTTGTGAATATGATACCTGTGAAAGGTGCTTTGAAAATAATGTTACTTACTTGTTATCACTTTGACAATGTTAACCAGAATAAATACAAAAAAGGATTATCAAAGTTTTAGGTCTATACCAAGGATGTCAAACTTAAATCTTCTAAGGCTAGTGTCCTAAAGCTTTAAGATATATCCCCAGTCCAACACACCAGAATCAGATTGTTTAATAACCTTTTCAGTCAAAGCCAGCTTCTCCAGAATCCTGCAAAGCCCATATTTCAATTATTTGATTCTTGTAAGTTAAAGCAGAGATGCATCTAAAAGGTGTAGGACACTGACCTGTGAGGATTGGATTATTACAGCCCTGGTCTAGGCTTTGACTGGGCCAACCAAAATTTTTTTTTTTTTTTTTTTTTTTTCTGCTGAAGAGCTGAACTTGGGTCCACCAATAACTGCTTACTATTCAGGTCAGGTCATGGAGCTACAAAGTAGGCCCAAGACTTCTGTATAGGTTAGCTTGGCCAGCCAGATTAACAAGAGGGGGGTAAGTCAGTCTGCTAAGTTTTAAACTCTCTGGTCCTAAACAGACCGGACCAATCACAGAGCTAGAGGCACAGAATTTTTCCTCTAGTGCTGGATATCATAAAGGTAGTTAATGAAAGAGTTCAATTATGTTTGTCTGGTTAGCAGTAGTTTTCAGCTTTAACTGTTTTTTGGATTCTATCTATGCCTAATCTCTGAATCGTAAATCATGAACGCTGACCTTGTTAGGTATACTATAGTATAGTCTGGGTAGAGAGTTGTGCATGTGCATTTATTTTAAAGTGGAAAGTGCGTGTCTTTTCAAAGGTTCGCGAAAATCCTCCACTATACCTAAAATTTTATCTAGTGCTGGATAGTATAAAGACATTTAATAAAATAAGAAAATGATGTTTGTCTGGTTAGTAGTGGTTTTCTACTTTGGGTTCTATTGATGCCTAATCTCGAAATCATAAATCTAGAACACTGGCCTTTACCAAGTTAAGTGAATTTTTCTGGGTTATTTTGTGACTTCCAGTTTGGTATATAAGGGAGGTGCTCAACTATTAAGATAATCTGTAAGTGAATCATGCTAAATTACACTTTAAACAAGGGTTTTTAAAGTCCTACTTGAATTATCAATCCATCCATCCATATTCTTCTGCTTATCCGTGGTCGGGTCGCTGAGGCAGCAGTCTAAGCAAAGATGCCCAGACTGCCCGATCCACGCAAACTTCCTCCATCTTCTCTGGGGGGGCCCTGAGGCGACACTAAGCCAGCTAAGAGACATACCCCCTCCAGCATGTCCTGGGCCTTCCATAAGGCTTCATCCCAATGGGACATGCCTGGAACACCTCAGAGGGAGGTGATTGGGAGGCATCCGAAACAGATGCCCGAGACACTTTAGATGGCTCCTTTCGACATGGAGGAGCAACGACTCTACTCCTCTCGGGTAACTGCACTCCTCACCCGGTCTCGAAGGGTGCACCCAGCCACCCTGCTAAGTGAAATCATTTTGGCCGCTTGTATTCATGATCTTGTCTTTTTGGTCATTACCAAGATCTCATGACCTTAGGTGAGGGTGGGAACGTAGATCGATCAGCAAATCGAGAGCTTCACCCCCCCAACTCAGCTCCCTCATTACCACAAAAGCAACCTATAAAGCGACCACATCACTGTCGATGTTGCACCGATCCGTCTATCAATCTGACGCTCCATCCATCCCTCACTCGTGAACAAGACCCCCGAGATACTGGAACTCCTCCACTTGAGATAAATTCCGCATTGTTCCTCCTGGATCAGAGGTTTCGACTATCGGCCCTCCTCTCCAGCACCCTGGAGTAGACCTTACTTAGGCTGAGGAGTGTGATCCCTCTGTAATTGGAGCACACCCTCCGGTCCCCCTTTTTAAAGAGAAAGACCACCACCCCACTCTGCCAATCCAGAGGTACTGTCCTCGACTGCCACGTGATATTGCAGAGACGTGTCAGCCAAGATCTGGGTGACTTCAGCCCGGCTGATTGGTGAGTCCACCTCTGAGTCCCCAGCATCTGCTTCCTCCTCGGAAGGCGTGGCAATGGGATTGAGGAGATCCTTAAAGTACTACTTTCACAGCCCGACAACATCCCCAGTCGAGGTCAGCAACCCCCCAACCGTGCTGTAAACAGTGTTGCTGAAGCATCGCTTACCCCTCCTAAGGTGGCAGATGGTTTGCTAGAACACCCTCGAGGCCAACCGATAGTCCTCCTCCATGGCCTCTCCGAACTCATCCCAGACCTGAGATTTTGCCTCTGCCACCGCACGAGCCACTGTACGCTTGGCCTGCCGGTACCTATCAGCTGACTCCAGAGTCCACTAGCTAAAAATTTTTACTTTTGGTTTAACAACTTTAGAAAAAGTCATGTTTGCTTTGCAAGCTCAAGGAACCTGCAGCATCAAAAGAATTCCCAGAAAAGAGTAAGGAAGGATGATGGGGGAAAAAATCCTTAAAATCTTTTCCCTGTAATAGCCGTCCTGCACCGACTAATTTCATCATTACCTTACAAAGTTTTAAGTATTAACAGATGCTCAAATTGTGTTAATTCCAATTTAAACAGTGTTTAAGCAAAACTAATATAGTTACCCTGTTACCAATATCTTTGTACAAACATCATCATTCATCCACATGCTCCAGTGAGCAGAAAGTATGTGTGTACATAACCTGAGCACTGTAGTTTATTTTGAATATGTCCCAAAACCTGTTCTACACTTTTTAGATAACAGCAGATACAACAACGTTTTGAACATCTTCTTAAAGAAATCACTTCTTCATAGATAAACTCAGCTGCTGTGTAACTGGATGGTTTATTTTTAGAAAAAAATAGTTGTACAACAATATTCTTAAATCATACCTTTTAATATAAACTCTTTGTAATTCTCTATTCTAGAAGAGGCCACTAACTTACGACGATGTATTAGGACCATATAATGAGATTTTAATATTTTTTTTATTTTGAAAATGAAGGCATTATATTATGAGAACATCATTTACTACTACTTTCAACCATAGATTAAAGGTCGAAACAATAGGGTCATTTAATGCATTTTACGATTCTAATTAGGATCTTTAGCTAGAGGTGCAGAGGCATAGTTTTTGCATCCTTTTCTTGAGGCCATCCATGCTTTTTTTTTTAGCTTCCATGTGTCATTCTCTGCTATACCATTTCTTAAAACAGCCTAGCCTTAAGCGGACAGCTCCACAGTATCTTCAGATGGAAGCGCCTCCTTCCTCCTCAGGATGGCAATTAGCCATCCTATCCTGGGCTCCACACACAATTGCTTCTGGCCTGCTCTGTGATTGTCTAAAAATGTGATATTGATGCACTAAACAGTTTGTTTCTGTCATGACTGATTAGTGTCTTTGTTGCAGCTCAGACGTGCCAGCTCCACAGATAAAACTGGGATGCTAAGAAGCGTTTGTGTCGTGTTCATGTTTGACCCTCAAGCTGAAAAAAGCAATTATAGCCCAACTGGCATTACAAAAGAGTTGACAAGAAAGAAATTGGGCATTTTATGTAGGGAGGACTAAACCATTGGCAGAGTTCGAGAAGGAGATATTTCTGATTTGCCTTGTTCTTAAAAATTGTCTTTGCAAGTTGGTCTGCTCTATGATTATCTCCTAACCAGTTGTTTCCTCACTGCTTCACCTCTATCACAGAGGTTGCAGAATTCACCAACCCTTTTGGCTTTTCTTCTCCCTGTCTTGTAATCAATGCCTTCCTCTACGGATAAGTACTCCAGTTATTGATGTTCCCCATGATGGCTGCTCTGGGACAGCAGCCAAGCAATGTGTGTCTCCTGATCCAGGGTGACTTATCCTTGTCCGCTATTGGCTGAGCCACTCAGATTGCAGCCCTCTTGGTGAACTCAAGTTCACTGGGGGAAAAAAATGATACCTCATTTGGTCCTGCCAAATTTAGCTTACATCACAGAGAGGATGCAAGACAGAAATCCAGAATTAAAGAAAACTCAAATGTTGTTTCTCAGTTTTTGTCATGCATCTTAGTTTCAATGCCATACTTTGTATTTATTGTTGAACTTTGTAACAAGATACTAACATTTAACATGGTTGTGATTATCAGTTTGACCTTTAATTTCTCTCTCTAGCAGTGGAAGTTAAATTTAAAAATTAACATATTAAGACTTTTTTTTTTTTCAACTCCATTTTAGACAGCGTTTTTGCTCTTGGATGAGAGGTATAGAATTAAATTTTTTGTTTCATCATGGCAGGTTAGTTTTTGTTGTGATGTCACCAACTGGTCTCATTTTCTTTTACTCTGTACCAGTGTCAGGTAATTGCAGATATGCACTTAGATGGGATGATAGGCAGACTTAGGTAACTAATGTTACAGCATAATCTTCTTGCAGATTGTATACTCTTTTATAAAGAGATAAAACTATTAGCTTTATTTAATATCATGCAATATATAAACCAGAAAGCACTTGGAGAGCATAGACCTCTGTGAAGCAGCTCATTTCCCTATTACATATTATTAAGGGATTCTCTAAAAGAATATTGAATCCTCTTCATAATCTGGATCTGGCTCACTAGCTAAATTTAATGGGTTCTATGTTGGGATGAGACACAGCTGTGGAAAAAATTTCAGAGTAATCCATGCCCAAGTTTTTGCATAATTTTGCTAACCAACAAGCAAACCAACACTACCAAAAACATTGTTGGCAGAAGTAAGTAAAGTAAGTAAACTTTATTTGTATAGCACTTTTCACAGACAAAGTCACAAAGTGCTTCACATGATAACATAAAAACAACACAAGCAAAAACAGATAAAATGCAATTAATTGTAGTGGTTGTGGTTATGGTTCTGTTTAAGTTTTAACTTTGACTTTTCATTGGTTTTATTTCCATTTTGTGTTATTCTAGTTATTTTTGATTGTACTTGTGTTCTTAGATATTTCTTGCTTGCCCTCTTGAGTAAGTCTCCTTTTCCCAAGCTCCCTTCTGACACCTCTGTCCACACCTGCTTCCAATCTGCAGATTAGCCGGGTCTTTGTTTCCATTTCCAATGTATACACCTCCTGCTCAGTTACTGTTTGCTGGTTTGTCGTCATTTATTTACCCTTCTTATAAGTTCTTCTGGACTTCAGTAATGTGTTAGATTTTGTGGATTTGTGTTTGTGGATTTTTGATTCTTTCGCCCTTTTTGGATTATTAAATCTGCAAGAAAGCACATTCAGCTTCAGTCTCTGCATTTGGCTCCTCCTCTCAAACTTCCACCCAACCTGACAGTAATACGCTGCTGATTCTTTAATCTAAACAAACACAGAAACAATACAAGGCTTTTCCATCCTTACAAATGAACATTTGGCACTCCACACATGAGATCATAAAACTTATGCACTATTCAAACAAGGAGTGCAAAAAAAAGTGACTCTGGCTAAAAAATAAAGCATAACAGGGATATAATCTACATAAAATGTAAAAAAATTGCAGTCTCTGCATTTCACCCATACACTTTGGGAGCAGTGAGATGCCACTGTGCGGCGCCCAGGAGCAGTGTGGGGTTAATGTTCTTGCTCAGGGACTAAGAGTGAAGGCTCTGTGGATAAAAATGGGCACTTTTCTTCTCAGAGCACAAGAGCACTGCTCTAACCACTAGGCCTACACTCACCATTTATTCAACAATCATTTGTTTATAATTTATTCCAGTTTGTAGCTGCATTAAATGCAGTTATCTAATACTCTAAAAAAAGATGGCAAGATAAGAAATGCTGAAAAAGCAGTTAAAGAAACATTAGTCCATCAGTGTTTAATATGGTTCTTATGAGGGACCTTTAGTTGTTTAGTAGTTATTAGTTGTATAAATTCAAAAATGGGCTGAGCTTCTGTCATCTTGTGAATGTGAAAAAATCATTGTTGCAGAGAGAGTATTAGAATAGTGAATATTATCAATAAATAATAACATTGGGTCTTTTATTTAAACTGCTTTAATTTGGTAACAATTACCATGAATGGTTTATGTGGTGACCAGAGTTTGAGACAAAAAATAATAATAAAATGTCTCTAAGGTTTGTGTTAAAAAAAAAAACTAACAAAAAAACTAGACTGAGAATAAGTAAACAATATAAGTAAACTATATTAAAAATAATTAATCTAAATATTTCGACTCCTGAAGAAGTTTGATGATATAGGGAAAAAAGCTAATTTTAAGCTAGTTTATAAAATATGTTAATTGTTCTAATTAGGGTAAAGGTAAACAGGTTTTTTGCCATAGCCATTGAACAATGACTTCTCTTCACAGCCGTTTGGTAATAAGTCATGTGTGTCAGTTTGCCACTGCTTTCTGTGCAGATGTTTCTTTTGTTGGATGCGTCCTACAAACAAGCATTACTCTTTATTATTTATCTGCTCTAAGTTAGGAGCTTGTTTTAATGTATTTTCTAAAGAATCTCCATTTGGCCGGTTTGCATTAAGACCATTTATTCAGGCATAGTAAGTTGAGCATTGCACCTCCATTCAATTTTAGGGATTTAACATTAAAAATATAACTATACAATTAAATGTACGAAACCAAACAAACTATTGAATACTTACACTTATGAATATACAGTGCTGCTCTGACTATAATTTACAAAAAGGGGTTTAACCTTCATACATTAAGTCTTTCTAGGCTAGCTTCACCCATGATCAACTCAAATAGGAAAGCTTAAACTCTTTATTCAGCTCTCTGACTGTGTTTTTGCTTTGGTTGTGATATGTCTTCTGTGTCACAGAGCCCTTCCCCAGGGTGGAGCCTCAGATCTGGAGGTCATCTCCCAGCAGGTGGAGGACGACAACCAGTGCATGGCTCCAGTCCAGCTAGTCAACTTCACCTACAGAGACTTGCCTTTGGCCGCCCTGGACATATCTCTTGCTGGATCTCAGCTCATCTCCAACCCTGATGAAGAGGATAACAGAGATGGGTAGGATCCCAGTGTAATGAGAGTAAAATGTTAAAGCTGAACCAATAGTTTCACCATTGTTACATCGAGGAAGAGTTTGTCTATAAAAGAATGATGAAACTACACCTTTTTCCTTTTCACCTTTGAAAAAAATAAAAGCAATGTAGATAAATATGAGGAAATCAGAAATATCTTCTATAGGATACATCAAAGCTAAATTTGGGACCCTGACCTAGTCTATATTCCATGGCACAGAAAATAATCTTCAACAGTGGAAGCCTCATAACAACTGCATGCCCCGGTACAGCTGTCTATGTTGACCTTGAAAGCAGACAGTAAGATGCTAAATGTAGTTTCCAAAAAAAAAAAAATACTATTGATATTAAGTGCATGCCTCTGCAGAGAAAGGCTTCAGCAGCTAAAGTTTGCAGGATAGAATAGAGAATAGGGCAGATGCATTAATATTCTTTAGACCGATTGAATTATATGGACACTGTAACAGAGGATGAGTTTGACAAAAATCAAAAAGAACATTCCTGGAAAAGAAACTAAATGCAAACTGTGAATAATGGAGTTGGACATGTTGTGGTTTAGGGATGCTATGTTGCAGCAGGACCCGGCCAGCTCACTATCATGGAATCCCTTTTATTTGAGAACATCTATTAAACCCTAAGTTGCAGTGACTGACAACCTGCTTGTAAAATCTACCAAGGGCTGAAGGCGAAGCCTAAAACCTGATCTTATTGTGTTTGTTCAGTGTAACATGAAAAAAAACTACAATAAATTTCTCAAAAATTTTACAGCTAAATGTAAGGAGTAGGTAAAAAGTTCCCTAGTCCAATTTCAGTGAAAGTGTTTTAAAAAAAACAGTTTTCCTTCAGTTTTTATTTGTAATGAAATCTGTTTCTTTTCCAGAGGAAGAAAAATAAGACATAAATGTTTTTATAACTTAACTTCCTAAACACTCAAGGGATGTTGTAATGCCTTATTTCCAGTAAATCAAGTATCAGTAAGCTGGAAACAAGTTAATTAATAAAAATGACCCATAAGTTATCTGATATACATAATTACCATTATCATCTTTATTGATCACTGCAACTTACATGTTACAGCAAAATGTGCCCTTTCTATTTAACCGTTAGGGAGCTGTGGACCTCCACTGTAAACCCCCCACACAGCATTGTTCGACAAAAGAGTACAACAGTGAATCAGGAGGCAGGTGTTCGCCCTCTTACTGCTGGATAACAGGATGTAAATCATTTACCAGAGGGGCAGTCTGTGAGATTTAAACCAGAGAATTTACATCCTTCTCAGGATGCAAGCACCTTGCTCTAACCACAAGGCCTCAACTCCCCCACATAAAAAAAAAAACAAAAAAAAGGCTGAAATGTAATTACATATTGATTAATGTTCTGGGTATTTGTGCACTATGAAGAAGATATCAGAGATATTTTGTCTGAGCCACCATGTCAGCTATTTGTGTCAAAGCACTACATTCCTAATTATGGCGGAATTGCAATTACTGCAATCTATAATCTACCCTGCTGGTGACAAGCTCCGCTGTCCTGTTCTTCATTGCTTATATTTGCATTTTTTAATTATACCTGCCATGTTGAATCATGCCTCATTTTACAATAAAGCCTGTTAGACGACGATAACTAAAAATAAATGAAAAGTCAGAGCATTCCCCCTGCCCATAAGGCCTTCTTGTTCTGGTCTTTTTTTATTTTTATTTTTTTTGTCGTAATACTGCAGTCCAGTGTTCTATAGGAGAGGATAAAAACCTTCCCTGATCACCTCTGTAAGCAAGTTCTTTTGGCTTTCCAGTCAAGATGTGTAACACACTACCCTCCTGGCATGCTATTATGTTGCCATCTATACAGAAAAGTAGACAAACAGCATAAGTTTAATCAGAGCATCTAGTATCTGATCGTCAAGGCCCCTGGTGCCTAAACACGGTCATCTGATGGCCGACTGGACTTTGCCTCTTTGGCCCAGTTGAAGCTGCAGGCTCTGTGGGATGGAGGGAAGGGACAGATGGATCCTTTCCCACACACACGCACACACACACACACACTCAGCCTCTTAATTTACCTCACTGTCTTGCCCATATAATGAATAGAAATCCCGCATTTACTGCATTGGCAAAGCAAAGGGAACAATCCGACAGCTTCGCAAAATTATCGTCCCAGCAGGCGCTTTTGTGTGACATCATATGAAGCTTATGGCCCCTGGGATTTGGCAGTGTGCAATGGAAAAATCATGCCGTGCTAAGACATCTATTGACGCTATTTAATAAATCAACAAAGCAAAACCCTCTGAACATGAAGGTCGTAGTGCTTTGAATAGCTTTTCACACACATTTAAGAATTCACATTTTGCATTACATTATCACATTATATTTGCTTTTTATGTGACTGATCGATACAAAATGACACTTTATTGTGAGGTGGATGCACATTTTGTTAATTCTGCAGAGCCCACTGTGATATTTGGAGGTCATGTAAAATACAGTATTGGCTTCATAACCTTTATGATGCTATAATATGTGGCCTGTGTTTATGAAGAGTCTCCTCTTCACGATTTTCACATATAGAAACTCAGGGTTTGGTCTTCTGAGATCCAAATTAATAGGCACTAAATTTCTTGTGTGAACAAAAAAGACACATGTAATTAATTTTGGTGTTGGGGGTTATCTACAAAGATTGTGAGCACCAGTGAGAAGTGTTGCAAACTGTTTGCTGCAAACTGCTGCAGACTGTTCTATTTAAATTCAATTCAATTCAGTTAATTTCTATAATGCCAATTCACAACACATCCCAAGGCACTTTAGTTTACAGAGATAATATAACCAGATCATGCAGTAAAAGGGATTAGAAGTTTTCTATCTAAGGAAAACCAACTGATTGCATCGACTCATTGACTCAAAGGCAATCCCTCACACCAAACATACTTGTTGCAACAGTGGAGAGGAAAACTCCCTTTTAACAGGAAGAAACCTCCAGCAGAACCAAGCTCAGTGTGAGGAGCAATCTGCTGAGGCCGACTGGGGTTCAAGGAGACAGAAGCAGAGATACAGAAAGAAGCAGGGACACATAAGGCAACAGCAAGGCAGACAAGCTTCAGGCCAGCTCCCACATCAGAGCATGAAAGAGAGCACATCCAGTTAGTTATAGTCAGAGAAACAGGACTACACTGAAAAACATGCCCAGCTCCAACATCTATAAACAAAGGTGTTGACGGCAGCAGCACAGCTAATATTTCTCTCAAGGATGGTGAGAGCCAAGCAGGAACAGACCAGATGTAGCAACTATGAGAAAAAGCACAGAGAGCGTAGCGTTAGAGATTGAACTACCAAATGCTGCAGAATGGGAGAGTAGTGATCGAGTGAAGAAGAATGGTGAAAAAGGGGTCCCTATGTCCTCCAGCAGTCACAGCCTATAGCAGAATAACTATAAAGATTGTTCTGGATAACCGGGTGTCT